TTTGCCCGACAAAGTGAACAATGAGCTCACAGATAACATCTCTATAAAAAACAGAGATGTCTTTAGTAATGAAGGTAATTGCTGTGATCAACTTACAGATGTGAGATTAATTCGTTTTGACGGAAACTACTTTCTGCTTCTCGATAATGAGGTCATAACTGTTTATAACTTTTACCAATAACTGCTTGATCGACTTCATTGATCTCACAGTGGAGAAATGTACTTATTACATCAGCTCAAATAGTCAAAAGAGAAGAAGCAGGTTCCAAAGGAAGAAAAAGATGCATTGGATATATACAGTGTTTAGGGTGTGTCCACATATGAATTTTTGTTTTTTAATCTTTCTGAACAAAAAGCCATATGTAAAGTCAGTTACATAAACACGTTAAAATATCCATAGACAATAAAAAAAAAAATAAAGTGAAAGGAAAGCTGAAGAAAAAAATGATATTGAAAAGCACATTGGAGGACTGGTATATTGAATGTTGCGTTTAAGTTTTGTCCAAAATTACGAGTGCATGTACAAATTTTAAGATATTTTGAATTTTACCAAATCTAAAGAGGAAAGTTACAGTTACACTGACATGCTATATATATATATATATATATATATATATATATATATATATATATATATATATATATATATAATCTTGCATTCACACAAAAATTTCATTAAATATACAATGAAAGCTTAGGATATTGTTTTGTTTCCCACTTTCTCGTAAATAACAAATTCAAGGGTTTTATATAAGGCCAGGACAGGAATACCTTAATATGCAATAACTTTATATTTAATGTCCACCCTAGTTGGGGGCAGCAGATATGTTATTTAATCAAATATTTTCTGGCCTGCCAGGGTGAATCAAGCTTAAATGGTCAAACAGTTAACTCTGAACACATGTGGAAAAAATTCTCAACATTTTCCCTTCAAAATATAAGTTACTTAACAAAAAAATGGTTTTAGAGAGTTTTTAAAGAAGCCTAATAGTTTTATAAACAATTGAACATGAAAATCAAAGGGGCTAATAAAACATTATTTGGTCAGGCAATATTTTATTAAATTATTTGCTTAATTGGAGATCAATAACCTTTTTGTTATTGAAAAAAGGGAACTCATTGGAAAAAGACTTCTGTCATATTTTGGCAAAAAAATACAATGAGCATATGAGGAAACACATACCGTAAACATTATTGTTATATTAGTGTTTAACCCCGAGTGAAATAAAGTTTCAGCTTTATTAATAACAGCTTAATACATGGCAGGACAGTGTACCATGCAGTCACCACTATTTTCTTGTTAGCTTGTGTTACACAACAGTAAAAATATGAAATGATCATAAATCATCAAAACCCCAAATTGTTTAGCTTTTAATGGTTTCCCTAGCTTTGCCAGACCTGTAACCTTTCTTGATCTTCGTCTTTGAAAGGTGTGTTGTCTCCAAAGGTCAGGAAAGTGTGGCATGTCAGGCCTGCAGCAGCGAGTTAAGGTCCTTTCCTCTATGATGAAAGCCTTCAGGCTCTGGCATCTCAAAGTTGTCTAAACTTTGAGATGTTGCAGAATTTAGGACAATGTTTTGCAGAGTCTGGTTTTAAAATTGCTAACAGGCCCATTTATCTTAGGGAGTCAGAAGGTTCTGACTGCTGTGGCCTGCATGGCCTTCCATTCATGGGGTCTCTTTAATGTTGCTGAATTGGTAGCAGCCACAGAGGAGAATGAGACAAACATGAAGCAGCTGCTTTGACCCCAAGGATGGCAGGGGGCAGGATTGCAGGTCCTTGTAGGAGTGTCTTGTGTTGGTCCTGTGAGAGGGTGTTTTGTAGCAGTTGGAAAGAATAGTACAGCAGTGCAAATCTGTCATCATCAATGTTTTAAGAAAACCAGCCTGGACATTGGTCATCAACGTCCAAACCCCTCTCCTGTAACTGCAAATATATCAATTCCCAAGCAGCAGTGGCGGCTGGGGGAGTTTTCTCCGGGGTGGGAATGATTTAAAAGATGTATACCAAAAACCAATCAAACATTATCACACTATTATATTCATATTCATGCCATCAACAAAAACATTATAAAAACACTTTATAAAAACAAAACATAATTTTATGTACAGGTTTACTTTTTGTATTAAATCTTGCCCTTCTGAGGCTTTGTGAAGGCAAATCTATGTTTTGCATGGTCCAATATGGTATCACAAACCTAAAATAAAAAAAATGTATACCAGTTTAATAATGGAGAAGCTATTAGTCAGCTTTAGATTTTTTCAATATATAAAAACTATTTATTTTCTGAGAATGTGTTTATTTAAGAGCAACTATGCAAATTAACAAACACCTAGAAAAATACAGTATATATTATTTTCCACGTGAATCCCAGATTATTCATGCTTCTTTGCCTTTTCTAAAAAGTGATTTAAATCAGTCCTACCTGTCTTTATCCATGCTGTGTCAGATCCTGACCTTTAAAAAAGGAGGCACGCAGTCAAGGCAGCAGAATAAAGCGTTAGCACACTGCATCCAGTTAGCCAAGCCTTGTAGCTACACCAGGTCCTGCAAAAAAACCTGGAAAAAGTGTACCATCTCCATCTGTCTTTTGGACTGCTGATTAATTTTGATGTGTGGCTGATCAGGTCCAAATGGTTTCACCTCCAGCTTCTCTTGGTAAGTTTGCTTCCCTCCCGCAACTCGGCCTGTCAATCGCCCGCACAACAACTGTGACAGCAGTTCATGCAACCTCAGGGCACAGCTCTACTGCACCCACTCTACCTTTGTATTGCAGAGGAGCTGCTGCACATGTGCACATGCACTTTTTTACACCCCAGAGTGTAAATACATCACCAATCCGAGGAAAAATGAAATGACGCTTTACTCATCATTAAAGGTTAAATATTTATCTTGTACATCTAAAAAATATATATTTATATATTTGGAAATATTTTAATTGTATAATTTAATTTTTATTCTCTATTTGCCAGCTGCCACTGCCAAGCAGCACAAATTTAAAGTAGGTGGGAAATAAGCAGGGCTTTAAAAATTAAAATGGAATTATAATAACTTTCTAACTGGTGAGGATTTATATACCACATACTGTACACCAGAGGGTGTGTTAGCAGGACACAAAGAAGAAGAGTTCCGGGTATAAAATGTAGGAGTGAAATTCAGGAAACTACAGAAGTTACAGCAGAGAAAAGCTGAGATGATAAAAGAGAAGAGAGCCGGCCTTGTAAGGCAATAGTAAGAGTTTCCTCACTGCTTACATTTTCCAATTCCAAATTACTGGTGAAAGTGGCATTATATTTAATTTCATAGATGCCACACTTAGAGTTCCACTGAGTTGCTAACTGGAAATTAATTTCTGTTAGTGTTTAATGGGTATACTTTGAAGTACTAGCGGTCAATGCTTGCAACTCATTATTTGTCAGAACTGTCAGCTCTAATTCACGAAGATATGTTCACTGCCCTCGGAAAACACTCTTGCATGCAGACACAAAAGCAGATCTGCTGATATATCCTCTCAAAGACTTAAAAAGAAGCTGAGCGTGAACGATTATGTTTCTTTGATCTCAATGACATACCTCAGTTCTGTTAAGGAAATTGAGCGCTAATGATCTTTTCAATGCCGAAAAGGGGGAACTGGGAGGGAAATAGTTATAACCACCCTTTTCAGCAATGGTGACAGGCTTTTACTCCTGCAGTTATGGGAGCCCAGACGACACCTGCCTAATACTTTATGTCCTTCCCCTGTCCTTGTTATTTGCTTCAGCTATTTTCTCAGCAGGTTGGAATTCCTAGTGTGTCAAAAGTGTGGCTAAATTGGTTCCCTGAGTGGTAAAAGATAGAGACAGCTTTGGACAATCTTACTCGTCTTGCACTCTTTGCTCGTTGATTAGAAGGAAAAAGCCAGGTTATTTTTGTGTGTATGTGCATGTTAGGATATATATGTCGGTACAATATGTGCCTCTATTCTAGATTTAATTGTATGATTGAGATATTTTGATACACCGACTGATTTCACGAGTTGTCAGACTGTTAATGGAAAGAAATAGGATGCTCAGAGGTTGGGACTCTATTTAGGTATTAAATTAAATAACTGCTCCAAATGACTCCCAATTACACAGCACTCCAGTTCAAATCATAAGGCATTACAGTGCACTTAATGCACCTATTAGCTGCCTATCTGGAAAGGAAAGCTGGAGAATTATACAAGCCTATTTTTTAAAAAAGTTTCCTATGATATTTATTAAATAATTTTCTTTTTCTGTGCTCTTCTTGACTTGAATGTTACTTTACTCTTTTTCCCTATGAAAATTATAAGTTCATGTGGTAATTTTCTCAATTTGTACATTTCGGTCACAGCGTCCTCAAAGTTTTGCACCTATTGCTGTACCAGACTTATTAACACAGCCATCCTTGTTTGCAGTTATCGAATGTGAATCTTAAAAACGTTTGTCTGTATTCAAATTGTTTATGTAGCATGAACCAACAGAGAGACAGACATTGTGGGAAAGGTAAGGGAAGTCCCTTTTGATTTAAAGGTATAGTGGAGGGTGTTCTTTTTCTAGTTGGATCATCAAAATAAGTGGTCCTTCTAATTGTCAGTCATTCTGGTGATATGTTTACTTAAGGCAAATCTTCTTTTGGAAAGTAAGCTTGTATGAGGGTTGTGGGTGTACATTTCTTTTTTATGCGAAGAGGGCAGGTCTTTTCAAAAAATTCTTCACTATACCTTTAAAGTAGAATAATCCAGTAAGGATAATAACAAAATATGTGTAGGGTAAAACTTTAGGGAAGAGTTAAGAAACTCAGCTATGTGTTTTGGTTGAATAGCAAGGATGCTACGAGACATATTATGGAACTAATTTCTGGACATTGCATTCATTCTTTTTGTTTAGTTTCATAGGCAGAGTTGAGAAATTGACAGAAACATGTTTAGAAGTTTTTATACATACAGAGATGCATCAAAAAACTATTTTACTGACTTTTTCATTGTTTTTCTCATTAAGATTCGTTCAGACCAGGATCAGGACATCTCAATTCGATACAGCATCACTGGAGTGGGAGCAGATCAACCGCCCAACGAGGTGTTCAGTATTGACCCTGTGCTTGGAAAGATGTTTGTCACCAAACCTCTGGATCGAGAGCATCGATCTTCTTATCATGTAAGTCTGATGTCTCTGACACTTGCATTAAATTTGTATCTTCTTATAGAGGTCTTTTAGAAGATTTTCTCATATATCTCATACTGCAGATTCAACGGCACTTTCTGAGTAGCCTTTTCAAAAAAATGCAGCTTATCGCTTAATGCATCATGGTTTGGAGGGTGGTTTCAAATGTTGTATGTCCAGTAAATAGGGATTACATGCTTCTCAGCATTTTGTTTATTGTCAGCACTGTAAGAAGCTATTGCTTTGCATGGAGACTAATAAAATTTGGACATTTGAGCACCATTTGATTTTGTTCTAAATTTACAAGGCAAACCCTAGTTTGTGCTGTTTTCTGTCTTTTTTTAAGGAGCCTGGCTAAGGTGACCAAACTGAATTCAAAACTCAAATGCTTAAATAAATGCACATGACAAAGTTATTCTGTTTTTTTAATATAACACAGATCAAGCATTTTCATTATTTTTTGTTTTGTACAATAGAGCTTCATGAGATTAAATGTGCTGATCTTTGAAACCTATTTTATAAACAAAATTTGTTTACCTTAATTCCTTTTAAAAAGCACATGACATGTTTAACAACTAAATTGTTAAGACTGGTGCCTATTTACTGTAATATGTTCATGTTTTTTTTTGTCTTTTTTGCAGCATGGGCTTTGCTGTTGGCATGTGTGTGCATGTTTTTACTGATGAGAGGTACAGCAAAGGGAATAGGCCGGCTAGAGTTCAGAACTAGGTCCTTGACAGGTCACCATTAACTCAAGGAATGCTACTGACTGTAGCAGCTCATAAATTTTATAGCTACAAGAAGTAAAAGCATAAACAGGGACTGATAGCTGATGTCAGATTATTAATTTACAATGCAGTGTTCTTGTATTGTCTTGAATTGTATTATTGTATTTGCATGTTGTCTAAGCTAAAATAAGGCCTTTTTCGGCTACTGTATAAAGCAACTCAATGCTATTTTTGACATTTGAGCAGAAAAAGCTTCTTGGATGGGAAACGAAACATCTTCAACCTTGGAAACAAAGTCTATTAGTTTCTTTTTCAACTTTTTTGGGTTGTCCTACTGCATAATACAGCAAATATATTTGAGAACATCAACTTCAACTTAAATCCATTATGCCAGGACTAGGGTATCTCCTAGAGAACACTGCATTGTAAATTAATAATCTTACATCAACTATCAGTCACTGTTTATTCTTTCACTTCTTGTAGCTATTCAATTTATTTATGAATTAAAAAAGCTTCCTGGATGAGAAGCGAAACATGTTGAAACTTGGAAACACAGTCCAGTGGATTGTTTTTTGACTTTTTTTGGAATGACTATGACCTGGATGACTGAGAATCTTCACCAGCGTTAGGACAGCATACCGTGTGAATTAAACTTAACTTTTTAAGGGAGGTATCCCTCTAGGACACCAAAACATTGATAGCCTCAAGGTAAGAGAGTAGTCTGAAAACCAGGAATAGACGTGTGCTGAAAGTATCCTCAGTTTACTCCCCTTATCTTTATAGCTTTGCACGGATATTTCTGCTCACTCTTTTCTCTTAGTATCCACTCTCAGACTGTTAAAATCTCTCTCCCTCTGATTAAGTTGCCTTTAGCATTGATTATATTTTTTTTTTTCAAAACATCTAACTGAACTGAATGAAAATTAAATGTTAATGTTTATTCTAGAAGCTTAAATAAGAAGCTGTTCACATAAATTCATTACATCTTTCTTCGGAAACCACAGGACCAATTTAGTTTGTCTTTTTTTTTTCAATTGATATTTCATGCAAGGATGGAGCCAAGTTATGCTCTAGTTCTTTTTATTTTAGAAGAATGAGCGCTTTTGAATTCAAATCCAGCCAAGCAACACGATGCATTCTTATGAGGAGAAAAGAGACTGTTGAAGCTTCTCAGTTTTCTTCTATCTGCATAATGAATCTGATGCCAAATGAGGAGTATTTGCTGGTACAGTCCCAACCCTGTCCATGCCTTTTAAAGATAATAACTATGACTTGGACTCAATAATAAGTTCTGCCTTCTTTAAACAAGGCAGTAATCTCTGACTCCTGCTGTGATTGAATTAGGTTGTGGGTTTGTGTGCGACATAGGGATGACGGTGGGTTTAGATAAGGAGTCTGGCTTCTGGCCTGCTATATAGCTGTGGATATTGAGTTCAGGAAGGATCAGACAAAGTAGTGGAAAGAATAAAGTTACATTTCACCTCAGGGTGTCCTGCAGATGTCATTTTGCTGAAACTTTAAAGTGTGGTGAAGGAAGGGGGAGAGAATGAGCTGCCGTGGTTTAAATTTGCACCTTTCTGTGAAGAAAAAAAGCAAAGTGGGAAATGGTTCTTCTACTGCCTTGGAAAAATATTTATACCCCTTAAACATTTTTGAATATTGCCTTATAATCAAATACTTCACTGTAGAATCAGACCAGATATAAGCAATTTACAAAATAGAAACAAACATCTGACTCTTCATATATTCAAATCTGCTACAGAACTACCCCAAAGACAACCAGGTTAAACATTTATTACAATATAGTGATATGTAGCATGAAAAATGTATAGAGTTTCAGATGGTTTTCCATAGCTACATCACATTTTACTTTTAAGCTGTATATATAGCAATAATATATTCTTTTGCTCCATGACTTTCATTACCTGTTTATTTATATAAATACCAATTAACTGTCCCTTTTCAATTCTTTTAATGCATATGCGTTGCAATGAATTCAGAGATAGAACCTTGGTTTGAGGGGTGAATGAGATTTTTTTTTCAACGAATAAATATATACCACGCTATGCTGTAGGAGCAGAATTTATTGTTTTTTTTCCATTTTACTTCTGCGATCTAGGTAAATATCCCAGGTGTTACATGCTGACAAAGTCACTGAATAAGTCATGTTCAGGGACATAAACATTCCCAGACAAAGCAAACAGGTTTTGAGAGAATCAAGGGCTTTATTTTAAAATGTCACAGCTTTTTTTATTTCTAACATTTGCTTTTTTGCAGAGGATATAACAAACATTTGCTCTTAGAATTTTTGAAATGATAAATTTTTATCTTTAACTTCCAGTAAGATGTACCGATTATATGTTCTTATTGTTATATAGATTCAAAGGGAAGTGAAGATATTTCTGGACTGACTTTGAACAAAACCAGACAGAGCGCTGGCCATGGGTTTTAATGCAGTCATTCTGAAAGTGAAACCTCACTTTTACAATTGAGCCAGCCTTCCATGAAATAAGATCTTTTCTGTTTGGTTCATGCTGAGAAAAATAAATTCTGCAGACTAAGTGTGATAAAATATGATGTCAGGAGAGAAAAAAGGCAATTTCTTTGCAAAAAGGATTATTCTGAACTTGTTGTCTAGTGTGCTTGATAATATGGTGAATACATTTTTTTTTAAAGTTTTGTTTTAGCAGACTTATTAAGAATCTTTAAGATCAGACACTTAATATAATCAATGCAAAATATTTGACAGCTTTTTGTTAAAAATGAAATTTTAGAATAATTGAATAATCTTGAAATGTGATAATGGCTTTGTTAACCAAACATATTCTTCATGGCAGCACTACTGAATGATTGGTCAAACAGTGCACCAGGAGATGCTTTAATAAGTTCTCCTTAGCTGTATCTCTGACCTGTGTGGATTGTCATTTTTCTTTTGTAGCAAACTCATATAATTTTAGAGATCAGTTGTATTTATACTGAAATTGAATAGAATATTTTTTCCAAAATAAATGACTTCTAAAGGACGCTGCTTTTATTTTGTTTTTGGTTTTGCTTCTTTTTTTAACCCAATATTCTTCTTTCAGGTAATAGTTTTGCACGATATTGTTTATGTCTTTATCATAAATCCCTGCAAAACAAAAGTTATTATATTTATTTTAAGAAATAAAACCAAAAACATGTCAAAGGTACTGAACTATGAATTATCTACCTCTAAAACTGAGTACCGGTATGATACTAATATTACTGAGGTGTTTAGTTATCTAATTTTAGAGATCATTCAGATAATCTCTCATAGGAATCAGCTGAGTAGCGTTGTTTCATTATTCATTACAAAGGAACCTGATAAACTCCTGTTGATTAGGCTATTAAAAAGATTCTCAGTCATCCAGGTCATAGTCATTCCAAAAAAGTTAATTGTTGATTAGTTTTCGTGTTTTTTTTGTTGATTTGTATATTTTCTTGTATTTTTACCAAAAAAATATTTTGTGTAGTTAATTGCTCAAGTAGGAGCCAATTTAGATTGCATATAAACCTGTTGAGTGTTGGGCAATAATCTGGAATCTTTTTTCCTGTCTCTTTCTCACAGCTGCGAGCCCATGCTGTGGACATGAATGGGAACCAGGTGGAGAACCCTATTGATCTCTACATATTTGTTATTGACATGAACGACAACAGACCCGAGTTCAAAAACCAGGTTTACAATGGATCTGTGGATGAAGGTTCTAAGCCAGGTAATTGTACAGAAAATAAAGCACCCATGAGGTTGTTTGTTTGTGTCATTTTTATCACTCCTGATTAGTTCTGATTCTCTTTAAACTAGCCAACACATGGCAATGGAGCTCTCAAAAGCTCCAGACATTCCAGCTCTGTCAGTCAGTGTGAGCGCTGTTCTGTCATAACCACATACGCTGTCAGATCGGCATATGATTAGTTTTCATATAACCTAAATGAATTCTTAGTCAAAATATGAACCACAGCCAATGTTTTCTATAATTTTAAACATGAAAACAAAATGTTACCACATTTAAATTCCCCCAAAAAAAGTTTTTTTAATACTAGTAACTTATTTTAAATTAATATTGACTAATATGGTTTTAGCTACAGAGACTTATCTCAACATCCCGGACACTTCAATCATGTCTGGCCGTTTCTACAGCCAAGAAAAAAAAGCTAATTTTCTTTTTTCAAAGTTAAACGTGTTTGTGCTGGTTGGTACACTGCTGCTAAAAGTCAATGACTTAGACTTAGACAACATTTATAGTCATTTTGTATACAATTGCAGCTATTTAAAATGGCCCTTTCCCAGTCAAATGTCATCCAAATTGCAGCCCACTTCCCTGCAACTCCCAGCAGAATCCCCTCCAACGTGTGTGCATATTTTTTTTTTACTCCGACTCCACCCTTTCACTGAACTTCATTGCTGGAGTGCTGTTTAGTGCCTCCAACCTAAGAAGTTGTTTAGTTAATTTAGGAAGTTCAGCATCAACTGCACCCACTGGGGTGAGAGTGTGTTGTAGTCTGTAATAGTCCGTTTGCCGTGCCACATCCTCCTGGTGTTGCTGAAATTGTGGAAGAGATCCTGGATCTTCCAGCTTTGGTTCTACTTAACTGATCTGATGGAATGGCTCTAGTTGGCTCGTGCTGTCCAATGTGGGAATAAAACTCTGTTGCGCATGTGCCTGCATGCATATTACTACAGCGTATGCTGATCTGATAGCATATACTGTTCTGGCAGAACAGTGACTTCTGGCCGAGCAGGATAAAAAAAAAAAAAAACCACGTATTTCCTCATTGCCCGTGTAATTTTTGATAGCTATTGACTTTTAATTAATGTGCACTGATTGCTTTCCTGATTATACATTTATTTGGAGCATCAGAGACATTTATTTTTCTACATTTCAGACTAAAACAGTATTGCAAACACATTGTACAATGCAGTCAGTCTAAATATTCTTTAATAAAATTACAGTTCATGCAATTTACTGATCAACAGAAGCATGCCTATAGTTGTTTATAATAACGTTATGCATGCAAAGAAAATCGAACAGAAGTACAGTAATATAACTCTTTTTAAATTCCTTTCTGATGTTCACTGCATGCTAGGAATACTGTGCATTCTGACCACTGAGATCCCGATGGTTCCTTAAATAAAGCCTGTGATATTACTGGTTCCAGGATTTACAAGTCCCAAACACCAGGTGTACCAGGTGTTAATCTCTGTTCTCCCTGCTGTTAACAGGTAGAAAATAAGCTGAACAGCAAAGTTGATTAAACTATTTAGTCTCAAAAGACTTTGCAAGTAGTTATAAACCAGAATTAATTTTCTTTTCTCTAGAAGGTAATTCAATGTGTATGTGTCTGTTTATCTATCTATCTATCTATCTATCTATCTATCTATCTATCTATCTATCTATCTATCTATCTATCTATCTATCTATCTATCTATATATATATATATATATATATATATATATATATATATATACATATATATATATATAAGCTATAAAGTACATGTAAGCTATAAATTACATGAAATGCAAACATCAAACTCAAGATTATTACATTTATCAAAAGCAAAAAAATGAATGGTTCTTCATAGGGTTTTGATTTTTAAATTGGAGAACTTTTGCTGTTCATTTACATTTCGATGCTACAACTTGCATGTATTTGGATCAAACCCTTGACTGCAGTCTGAGGAGGTAATTACGCAATTTGGTTTAAGTGTGGAAGCAGAGAAACATCCAAAATGTGCAGATCACCGGACCCTGAGTGCTAGAACGAAGCAGGCTTGCTATATGCTGTGAAAAGACCTTGTAACAAAGTCTACGGTAGAGGATCCTTCACACCAACTGTTGGTTGTAACAAACCTGGTAAAACATACCAAAAAAGAAGCCACAAATATGAAATAAAGCTTAACTAATGTTGAATTTAATAGCAACATTTTACTATTAATACACCTTATATTTAGTGCATAGAATATTATTAATATTTTCATGTAGTAGAAAAAATACTTACTCTGCCACTTTGGGTCTTCAAACCAGTTTGGGTTTAATTCCTAGGTTCAATGTTCATAATTGATGCCTTTCAAAAGATGCACTAATGAAGTGCTAGTAGTGATGCTTAATGTCTCTGGCTGATTTACCAGCAGCCTGGCTACATTAATTAGCTGCGGTCAGACGTGATGTAATCCTGTTATTCAAAAGGTAAACAAGTGAGCAACACATCTCCAATGCTTCTCTGACTTTGGAAAAGGAAAGTGTAAACATCTTTTGACTCTTTTTCTGTGGTGTTGCATTATTTCATGGAGTTAGAGAGGTAGAAACAGGTTGTGTTTTTTAGTGTCAATGATGGGGGGGATAAAACTCTTGACCAATGCCTCCCTATGTGTTTACATACAGTGTATAAGGTGTCGCCATTACACTTTTAACCGTGCTGTCAAAGGTATTCATACAATCTCTTACTAGTCTATAAATGGAAGTGAAATATATAAAATTCAAAGCTTAACCACGTAGGGGGAAAGGAAAGTCTGGAAACCCACCAGGCTTATAGCACAAAGGGGGAAAACTTGCATATTCAGAGCTCACCACAGCAAGTCATTAAGACTTGTTTACAGAATTTGTGAAGAGTTTTACTCCTGATGCCCTTCCTGAGAGAATTGGATTCAAACACAGGTCCCCTGCATTACCGTCAAAAACTTAAACCCATTCACCATGGGTACAATAAAAGCATAGGTGTAAATTTAGATGTTGGACAAAAGAGAATTTTCCATTCTCTTTTATTAACAAGACTGTGTCTTACTGCTAAAAACGAAAAAGAAGTCAAAGCAGTGTTCCTTTTCATTCTGGTGAAGAGATTGAGGATTAAACGTACCAAACTGTAGTACCACTGGGTCATTTTATTTTAAACCTTGAAGCAGAAGTATCCCAGAGATGTGCTCTGTGTGCAAACTTCAGTGAGTTTAAGTCAGATTATCCCAGCTTTATAATGCTAGAGGTGATCCGAAGAGGTGTCCAGGTGCTCGTTTCCTTCTCCAAACCTTCTGTTTACTTTCTTAATTCTGCCTTTTTTTCCACAATGATAGTTTCTCTTTACATTTTTTTGTTTATTTTCTTGGCCCTGTTCCACAAAGCACATGGGTCTCTAAAGTATGTATGACATTAAGCTAAACAATAATCATAAAAAAATGACTTTTAGAGTGTAGAGCTCCAGTGAATTCAAAGGAAGGCCAATTACAGACTTAAATTAGTTTGCAAATTAAAGAGTCATTATGGGGACGTAATCCTGTCAGGCAGAGCTTAGGATGCCCATACAAAGGGTCCATATTAAACCCCATACAAGTGCAGCTTAATGAAATTATCCCAGTGATGTGTAACACATTGTGATGCTTCATCTATCATTGTGTCTCAAGTGAAAAGTGTTGGGTGGGGGCTGATAGCGTCTCGGTTTGGATTTTAACGGCAGTCTGTACTCTGGTGTTCTCCTTCTCTTTCCCGCTCTCTGTTTAGAGCATCCTCTTTTTTTCTGCTCTCACTGGGGGGGCTGTAGAATGCTCCCTCTGGCCAAGTAATTGACAAATGTTGCTTTGAGACATAATGAAGTTTGAAATGGGAGCTGCAGTTATCATTATCCTCGGACAGGGGCTGTCATTGGCATGATATCACCATCTCTGGCAATAATATTCAGCTAGCAAAGGGAGATGAATTAGATGAAAGACACCGGGGTCCCACATAGTTTTAAAATGGTGTGGAGACTTGAAAGAAAAGAAGTCGAGTATGTATCATGGAACTTATTTTTCAAATTTGTGATTTAAAATGCATGTTTTTTTTTTGTTCTCTTTTTTTAATGGTACCTTTTAAGTACTCGTATGACAAAGTCAAACATGCAATTAGGATAGAATCTGTACTTGGTTGTGTAGAAAAGGTGGTTTTGTACATTTTGGTGTAAGCTGTCTCCGAAGTGCCAGGCAAGGATCTGTAATAAAAGATAGTATTGTATAATATTGGGAGCTGTTTAGGAGAACAAGTTCAGCCAGTTTTTATTGTATAGAAAGTTAGAAATATTTTAAAAAGGTTTTTTCACACATTTCTAAAGTAAACACAATATACTTTTATAGCATCCACATGGAGATTATGAGTGAAAACATTATAATATAATAATTAATATAATGAGTTGCATGTAAATGAGAAATTCTATTATGCAGTAATTATGAGTATCTAATAGAGCTTCACCTTAACAACCTCTATGACCTAAACCAAGAGTCAGCAACATTGATTGCTACAGAATATAGCTTAGGGGAGAAAGTTGACCATTTGGGAGGCTCGCTTTTCTTAGGGCAATTCCTTTATTCAATTCCTATATTTTTTTCATTTCTTTTATGTTTTGAACTGTGCGCTAGGTTATTTTTTTTAAACAAATATTTATTAATGTGGGAGGTTTTCTTACATCCAAGTAAATGTTCAAAAGGTAAGGGGTTATATTAATGTTATTTCTGACATCAGATAATAGGTCTTTAATTAAACAAATATTTATTTTTAATGGAATTTTACACATTTATCTGGCGATAATAGGTAGAATAGGATGATTTTAGAAAGTGATGTAAGTCCTGGTATTAGGGGGTATAACTCGTGAGAAATTAAAATTTAATTTACTTCACTTTAATCTATACATTAAAAAGAGAAAATCCAGTATGAAGTGAATTTCTGTTTCACTATTATTGTAAGCTATTTTGGTTACTTTCAACAGCAACCGTTTAGATTAGTTAGGTAGTGCAAATACCAAAAATGAAACTTTAAACATCTCAAAGATAAGGCAAAACATTGGATAAAATGCTTCTTCCTTCATTTTTTGTTGTTTTGCTGTGATGATAGAGTTATACAAAGCAAAACCTCAGATGATACATCAGCACAATCCTGTGGGAAGGTGCTACATTGCAAGATGATGTAGAGATCAAAACTGTTGTCATTATTCTGCTCATTGGACCCTGAGTCAGTGTCTTCTGTCAAAGCAGTCTGTAGAGGCGTTCTTTAACATATATGCAGACAAGTTTGGCAGATAATTGTAGAAAATAAGTCTGCACAATCATTTGGAGCAGTATGACCAGATGTCCTGATTTGTGCCTGACAGTTCAATGTTTTTACATGTCTTGACATTTCACAAACTGAAGCAGCGTACCGCATTCTACTGAGTCAAATGATATTTAAAAAAAAGAGAAATATATTAACAGACGCCTTTCCTACATAAAGAAAGACACAAAGAAAGCAAAGCTGTAGTCATTATCATAGAGCTTATTCAGTGTCCCATGCCATGACCAAGCTGCACACAGTACTCTTAAAACTTAACAGCTAAAGTATTTTATTAGAAAATAGAATGCAAACTAAGGTTTTTCATCTGTGTGTGTCTTTTACAGTGTTGTTTTACATAGCCTAAATTTATCCCAGTTTTCCCACTTTTGTTTTGTTTAGATTTGGTTACCCTAATTTGCATTTTATAAAAAATCTTACCTAACAAGAAATATTCATATATATATATATATATATATATATATATATATATATATATATATATATATATATATAACAACAAGGTTTTGCCTCTCTTGGTTCCACAATCATTCGGCACATAGATTTTTGGCACCTTCAAAGCTCTGAAACATCTAAGTGTATACTTGTTTCCCGTTTTTAGTATTTAAAGTTATCATTTTATAAAAGGTCTCTTTTCTCTCCATTACTCACTACCAGACTGTCCTTGCTGCATGTGTTAATGTTTCAAGTTGAATGAATATACAAACCTTTATTTTTCTCTGGAAAATTGGAAGCTTTTTCTGAGCAAATCATTTTTTTCTTCCTTTTTCTGAACAAATATGGGCCATTGTTGCCTACTTGAGAACAAAAAGGTGCATTTAGTTTGATATTTCAACCAGAGTAATACAGCTAATTGTCTTAAAAATAAATAATCAAGGCCAATGAAATATACAATTGTGAAACACACAATCTATAGTTTGTTTATACCATTTAACTAAACAGCTAGTCCTGTTCTCATGCGTGAAGGTTTGGCAGGAGTAATCTACTTTCAGATCCAATCTTTAATAGAGGCTTAGCCTTTATTCAAAATGTTTATAAAACTCAGTGTAAACTTCACTTACAAGGTGTGTGAGAGTTGTTGAAGTAGGGTGACTTTGTTGATGTGAGATAAGAAATATAATTAACTTGATAAAAATCTTCAAAATGGTTTATAACTTTTGCAGGAAAAATAATCAAAAGTCAAAGCAAAAAAAAAAAAAAAATCAAAGCTGAGCAACCTGGTATTTCCAACCCTTAGACCTAAGAGCAAAATTCTTGCAGCAGAAATTATTCTGCCTCTGTGCAAATCAAATGGAGTTGGATTAAAAAAAAAAAAAAAGTTAGAGGAGCTGAATTGGATTTGGTGGTGTTTTTCATCATTATTTCGCTGAAAGACACATCAATAATATTTTTATCCAAAATTAGATCACTACCTTTAAACAGAGGTGTCAAGTAACGAAGTACAAATACCTTGTTACTGTACTTAAGTACACTTTTTAGTGTCTGTACTTTCTATTCCTTACGTTTTTAACTCAAATGTTACTCATTACTCTTGCTGTCCGTTTAATGTTTATAAATATTTATTTCACGTAATGTGCCCCATCCAATGCAGATCATTGGCTCCATCCACACCTAGTTAAACACTAGTGTAATTGGATTAGTCATATAACGCAAACACTCATTGGTTAGCTAAAGGAAATCATCAGAAGCAAGCAGGTGTTCTTCAAACTACAAACGAGAATCGTCTATGCCATGCCCCAATGTTGGATTCAGAAAAAGATGTTGAAATGTCTGAAAGTTGGACACAGGCGAGAGCTTATGGGTAGATGGAGACCAACAAGACCTCCCTCATCTGGGGCCCTATCTCAAAGAATCTTTCGAAATAGTTGAAAAATTGAGCTTTCAGTTCATATAGTGGCATCTGGCTGTTTTTTTTTTGTTTTTTTTTTAATGGTTACTTTATACTTTGATACTTTCAGTGTTTTTGGAGCACATTCTTTCTCACTTTTACTTGAGTAAAGAGGTTAAGTTGATACTTCAACTTTTACCAGGGTGTTTTTAAACTGCAGTATCTATACTTCTACTTAAGTAACAAATGTGTGTACTTTTGACACCACTGCCTTTACATCTGAGTATATCCCCACATAAGGGAAGCAGGCTTATAGTAACATAAAACTCTGTGTAAACTTCACTTACAAGGTCTAAGTGAAGTTTACACACTCCACCCTACTACACAGTGGGGATGGTTTGTTTTTATACATGCCCATGTAACCCACCAGAGGTTTTGTTGCCATATAGTGTGGTGTTGAGTCTGAACAAAATTCTCAAGCATTTGTTTTTCTTATTCTTATTTTCAGTAACTTCTTGGAACAGTGAAATAATAATCTTTGTTTAACCCTCATATGATATAAATGGGTAAAGAAGAGCCTTGATTTACTAGCACAATAACCATAGTCTGCCTTTTTAAACATATCGGTATATAAACTTAACTTCGGACAACCCCCAACACAGTGTTTAGCTGTAATTTTCAATAAAGGTCTCACTCATAAAGCTGTGTTTATTATCTGCACCTTTAGCAATTACACTTTAAGTTACATTACCAATACATCTATATTATCGTGATCTTAAATTCTTAATTGACATACATAATTTATCTTTTTCAGTAAATGCACTATATTCAGCCAGCAATATCAGGTAACTTTATAATGTATAAGCTTCTTCTGCAACACATGCTCTAAAACTATAGATTATAAATCAGAGATAAATCTATTATCTGAACATGCATGTTGACAAAAACTTATTTCTTCATCAGGAACTTACGTGATGCACCTGTCTGCCTTTGATGCTGATGACAACACCACAGCCAATGGAATGGTTCGGTATCGGATCCTATCCCAGACACCCCATAGCCCGATCCCCAACATGTTCACCATCAACAGTGAGACAGGGGACATAATGACGGTAGCGCCTGGACTGGACAGAGAGGTTTGTCTTACGTGTTTCACACTTCACAAAGACTATTGTGACAGTAGAAAAACAGGTCCTTTCAAATCTGTGAACCCCTTTGGGTTTTGGCATGTCTAAGTGCCCAGGAGATAAGCCATTATTTTCCGTTTAGGATCGCTTTTTTTGTTTGCTCTAACAACACCTTTAAATCTCATTTAGCCATTTGTCAGAACATGTTTCTTTCACACAAATACAAACACCAACCTTTCTGTTTGTTTCTTTTCTTTTACAATAAATTGTCTTCGGTCACCTTATTTATGGAGCTCTAAAAGTTTTGACAAGATCCAAATATGTTTATTCTCGCATTGTGTGCCTGTGACAAGTCTGTAAAGACATCTGCAAAACAGATCATCCTCCCAAACTGTCACTAGTGACAGACCTATTAACAACACATCATGCTGCAGTGGGCTGCTCGTGTTGTGCTGTTCATGCCTGTAAAAGTCCATTATGTGTGTTTGGCTGTGTGGTAGATAGAGAAAGGAAAATCTTTGGATGGAATGCCCTTGACACCTGTCAGACAAACACAAAAGTCTATATAATCACATCTGTGCTCAATAAAACAGGAGCAACAGAGGGAAAAAGGAAAACTGGGTGGGGGCTGAAGCAAAGAAGCAAGTTAGGCAGTGAAAAATAGGGTAACAGAGATGGTGGGGTGCCAAAGGGAAATAGATGCATGAGGGCAACATGGACAAAAATGTACCTAGCTGAGTTGCTGCTGCTTATTTTTATGTTGTATTTGCGAATCCAGGCACTCTTCCTAAAATATCGCATTAAACTCCTGCTAGCCTTTTTTGTACTTCAAAGAAATTGTCATGACATATTTGTTTTGCATTATACTTTTTTTAAGGTTTAGGCTTAGTTTGACCAGGCTTCAATAAATTTTTTTCTTTTCTCAGAATGTTCATAAATTTGTCTGTATTTTAATTTCAAAGCAATTTTACTCTTTACCATTCCTTTCTCATTTCTTTCCTTTAAAGAAAGATTTGTGAAATGCCTGAAAGAGGATTAGACCTGCTGAAAAAGATCTCCACAGCATCACTAAGCTCCCTTTAGTGCATTGAAAAAGTAGTCATAATGTACCTTATATTTATACATTTTTTTCCACAGTAATGTTAAACTGTAATGGCATAACTTTACTTAACTTCCCCATAGATGTAAAAGGCTTAAAGGTCTTTAGATTCTGTGCTGTGTTGCAGTCAACAGTATTTATGATCTGCTGCATTTTTAGGTGTGTAACTGCAAATTTCCAGTGTTTACCTTGAAAAGCCCTATAGTGTCATTGTTACCTCAAATCAAACCTCTGTTGTGATAATCACAGAAATTACATTTTACGCTGTCATAATGTTGAATCTATAATGTAAAACATGTCTAAAAGGTTGGTTTGACTATCAGTAATTAATTAATTCTACCAAGGTTATTGGCTATTTTTTAAAAAGTACTTTTAATACTAAATACAAAATCAAAGCACCACCTCAATATCACATCATTATTATTCATCGCTAAACACTGCTTACTCTATATCATTTTTTTTTTTTTTTTTTTTTTATGAATAGCTGCCTGGTGAACTCTTTTAATATAGAACCACAATTAAAAGCACTGATTATTAATTTTGTGTTAGCTTGTCTTCACTGAGCAGAGTTATGGTACAGTTTCTTTCAACCATGGTCCTAAAGGCACACTGCCCTGCATGTCTTGGATGTTTCCTAGGCTTCATAGATTAACAGGCTTTGCTGATCTGCAGTCATTTGAATCAGGTGTGCTGGTGCAGAGAAACATCTTAAACATGCAGGGCAGTGTGCCTTGTGAGGACCAGGGTTGAAAAACCATGTTATAGTTATAGTATACCAAAATGGTGGTGAGAAATGTGGACTCACAAGATGGCAGATGGAAAATGATGTTACATGAAATTAGTGGCTTAGCTAACAACAAATGGTGTATGCGGTACTATTAAAGAGACTTAATTCTGCATAGCACATATATTGTATTCCAGAAAGGAGTTAGGTGAGAAATAAAATTGCGTAGGTTTTCAACATAACACCCGTTTGGAAAAAAAGGATAAGTTTATAGGGAGTCTGTTTACATTGAGGTCACATCTGAGAGCAAATTCCATGCTTCTGATCTGTTTAAACATACTCTTCGGAAGACAATGCCAAATGCTATTTCCATTTTCTAAAAAGGATTTCCACCAGTTTACCGTTAAGGCTGCATTTAAACAATTCAATAAAGCCAACTGGTTTTTCTTAGATAGAAAACTGAGAATCAATTTGACTTTATGATTTGGTGAACTGCAAAGTGCCTTGAGATGACGTGTTTTGAATAGATGTTATATAAATAAACTAAATTGAATTGACTTAAATAACCATTAGTTAAAAAAAAAATAATTGGTTACACATTTTGGTTACGCAAATCCTCCTGAACAGGGTCAGGTCTCTTTGAAGCAATCAATTTAACTGTGATTTACAGTTCAGAATTTTATAAGCTATGTTAACAGTTTCACTCGGTTCAGCATCTTAAGCTATTTTAACAACAACATATTAAACTAAGGATTTAATGGGCAGGATATTTCTTTTTGCAATATTGTGGAGATGAAAGAAGAAATTCTAGAAACCTCTTTGATATTGGATTTAAATGTCAGGTCCTGATCCAAAATAACACCAAGACGTCTTACTTTAACATGACTGAAAAATCAGTTTATTTTTCAAAGACTCTGGTCCAAAGATTATAATTTCTGCTTTGCCTACATTCAGGAGCAAAAGGAAAGAGTCATCTAGGTCATTATGTCTTCAAGACATTCCTGTAGACAATGTTATACAGTAGGTTAATCAGGATTTATAGACACATGTAGTTATGTAGCTAGTTACATTTTATGTTTGAAAATGTCAAAGAATTTGCAAAACTTTTATGTTACTTGAATAAAAGAAAACTAGAGGGTCAAAATGGAATATAAGGTGTTTGTTAGTAATCAATAAATGAAATGATTAATCAATGGTCTAAACATTTGAAAACAATACAACCTAATCTGAACTATTTTGGTGTGTGTTGTTTCACAAGTCAGTTACAATATAATAATGTGGCCATGATTATGTTTCTTGTTAATAGTAAAAGAAGAATAAGATGTTCTAGAACTTTATATGTTTGTACATTGACAGCCTTCAATGGTCTATAACATAAATACGAAGCTGAAAAATAATGCTTTTTAATCAATTTAACAAAAATAACAGGGGCTGCACTATTCCAGAAGAATAGTGCAGAAATGGCAGCATTTCTGTAGAAATGCTGCCATCCAATCAGTTGCTCTGCACCACCATCTCTCCTCTGTGTTCATTACATTCTGAAGTTGTTACAGTAGCGTTGCTGTTACATGCTCTTACACATGGAATTTGCTATCACGTCTGCTTACACCATAAAATTGTGGTCCTTGTTAATACACATTAGGTAACAAATAAAAAATCTGTTTAAATCATAGTGACTAACATGTTACATAATTAGTTACTTTGTTAGTTACTTCAAAAGTAACATAGTTATTGTAAGGCGTTACTTGATGATGCATTAGTTCGAGCACCGTCAGTATGTAACATGGAGAGAAATCAATGGCACTCAGTTCTGTATTATTTATATCTTGTCTTCCATGGCAGTTTATTTAATATTACAGCCAAACCTGCCTATTTGGAAGTACCATGGAAGTGAATGATTTGATTTCCTCATTGGTTTCACTAAAATCTTTTCCTCAGAGTGCATTGGATTTGTTTTTTGGTTTTGTTTTTTTTTACAGAGCAAATCAATCTGAATTTTTGTTTCTACAATACAATACAATACAATATTTCCATTCTTTTGACAGTTTCTCTTAGGCCCCTTACATGAGCTGAAGGTGAATCCCTGGGATATCTTAAATTGCCCTTTACATAATGACATGGAACAGTCCTCCCTACCATCCAAAAAATGAAAAAAGAAAACTCTACATAAACTATCCCTAATTCTATGCAGTGAAAAACACCAAATTGGAGCACAAATCAGAAACTTTAGCTGTGATAAATGCAGCATAGGTTTAAGAAAAAATTATTTAAAAAAGCAGTGAGAGTAATTGTAATTTCAGAAGGAAGATGAGGCTTCGATCAGCTTACCAGTGATCGCTGCCGCATGGCCTCTGTAAAGGTCACCTTTCTATGCAATTTGGCTTTCATAATTTTACTGTAGGCCACAGTTCCTCTCTTGCTTGTCAGTCTTCCTTTAATAAAATCTCGATCAAAACAGAGACCTTCATCTTTGCAGCCGCTGACTCCTTAGTTACTTTCCAAACTGCGTCTAGATGACACCTCCTTGTGAACTGTAGGATGACCTGACAGGATTCTTTTTTCCCCTCTCAGTGGATCGTGTCGATCACATTTTCTGACTTGTCTGCCCATTGCGGTAAGATCCTTGAAAGAAGCTTTTCTGCCTTCTCTCTGACATTTTCTTCCTCACTGTCCTTACGGCTCCATCAACACGTGTACCTATCAGTCTCCAGAAGTTTATCTTTCAGAGCTGCATCTTCTTTATTCAGTGTAACAAGCTTCTGCTCAAGGTTTTACCATAGTGGATTTACATTCAGCGATACCAAGAGAGCTCTGCTCCACTCATCATGTAGCCTAATGCCGGTGAACTTTTTTTTTCAGCTATTTGGCAAAGTTATTAACCCTGTTCTCCAGATTTTGTATAGCAGCTAAGATGGCGGCTAAATGGGCCTCCCTCTCAGCTTTTACTGAGTTACATTCGGTTGTCATCTTGTATTGGCAGCATTTTCTCCATCTTTATTGGTGTTTCAGTGCAAGCAGAGATATACTTATGAACATTAAACCTTGCAGCATAAGCATAAACACTGTGTGAGAAATTTTTTTGAAATCGATCATACATTTATTTCTTCCTTACTTTAGAACATGGATGTTCAGGTCTTCCTTCAAGGTGACACAGAGTGCCAAGAGCTGGCCTCATAGGTAGGGGGAAGGCCTAGTGCTTAGAGCAGTGGACTTGTGCTCTGAGAAGGTTGCAAGTAGCCGGTTCGATCCCCACAGCCTGCACTCTGGGTCCCTGAGCAAGACCCTTAACCTCACATTGCTCCTTGGGCGCCTCAAAGTGGCAGCCCACTGCTCACCAAGTGGGTTAAATGCAGAGGTGGATTTCTCTAGTGTGAGATGAATAAAGTTCAGCTATTATTATTATTATTATTAAGCATTAGTTAGGGGCTGCAAGAATGGAGCTCAGAAGGAAAAGTGTGCCCACATCGCAACTTTGCCAGAAGTTCATCAAACAGTTTAATAAAGTTGGGAATGTGTTCCGACAACAGTAGTCATTTACTTCGAAATTATGAGTAATGTTAAAATTTGAACTACCTTTGAACTAAGTTAGGGTTACCCTTGCTGTTAATATCTAGGAAAAGTAGGCTTGAGTGATCACACATTTATAGTTAAACAGAGGCATTTAAATTTACAATCAGTTTGCATCTACTGTTAAACATTTTTTCTTTTAGTGTCCGACATTGTGTTTGCAAGCTTCTCGGAATTCAACTCTTAAAGAGAGATTGAAGAGTGATTAGTCCTATGCTTCCACTGTTGTTAGCCACAATCAGGAAGAAAATAGCAATCTCTCAAGAAGCGGTATTTCCTGAAAAGTAGCCAATCACAGACAGTATGGTTGATTATACCCTCAAACTAAGAAAAGTTGACACAACTGCACAGAAACAGATCCACACACACGTTGGAGAAAAGCTAGAGTGCATGAAAAGCAAGCCAGACACTGATAAGGAGCATTTAATCATGCGTGATATGTTGGGTGGAATCTGGTATTAAATCTGCATGCATAAAATTGCACAAGAGAGTAGTCTATATATTTTTATATGACTGTGTTTTAAGTACAACTGCTCGTATAAATATTTATCATTTGTGGTCTGTTTTGACAGAATTCTGACTTCATAACTTGGTCCTCAACCCAGCTGTCCCAGATTTGGGTCCTGGGATATGGACCTTTAGGAATATGTACATTCCAACAATATTCTAGTTTCTCTTACTGTTCATAGAAACCAACTAAGATGCATGATACATTGCAGTAAAGAGAAGAATCTTCCCAAGCATCTCTGTATAAAAAAAAACATCAGAATACATTTTGATGCATCTCTTTAGATTTTGCCAGCATTTTAACATGTTAGAGCATTGACAGTTTATTCTGATATGTCAAAAGCATCAGGTGTCTCCGTTAATAACCTTTTTTTTTTATCACATTTTACACCTTTCTTGAAAACATTAAGTCATTTTCTCTTCTCTCCTTTTAAGGGGTGTGCTTTCTCTTTTTTTAACTGCTCATCTAAAGATTTCCGCTGGTCTTCAGTAGACTTCTAAAGAGCTTGTTGACAGCAACAGACCTAAGCACTTCAGTGAAACTGGGTGTGCTGTGGTATTGTTGCAATCATAAGAGGTTCGGAAAAGCTTGGCATAATTACTCCGTTGTCTAATTAGTGAGTGTTGTGTACATGCCATACAGAGGATGATGGGACAGCTAGGAAAATACAAGATCTGTGGGAAGCGAGGCACCAATGTCTGCTTGTGTGTAAACGTTAGTGTTAATGAGTCTGTGCACAAGGTTGGAGTTCAGCATCTTATTTAGCATCAAGATGAGAGGAACCGAGAGGAGCTGTCTAATCCTTCTGATGTGCCGTCCTGGTCTAATTGGGATATTTACTCGGTAATTAGCAGGTGAGAGAGAGAGACAGTGGGAATGTAATTTGGAATCTCACTGACAAGACACATTATCCAGACAGTCAGCTCCTGGGCTCCATCCTTCCTGCAGCCCATTAACTGCACCCTGGGACAGAAGAAGAGGAAAAGAACCCTGCAATAAGGAGGATGGAAGAAAGGGTTGGAGGGATAAAATGAACACAAATGCCTTTGAGCACAGGAGTATAAATGATAAGAAAAAATCCCATCCCACTAAAGTGACATGGTGTCATTTTTGGAGGGAGGAAGTAGCATTTATTATTCCCTCATATTATTATTTCACAGATAGTCTATTAATCTCTGTCAGGTGGATCATTGTCTTCAGATCCGTCGATCTGTGGTACTGAAAAAGCAGCACGCCTGACAACTTTGATGGCATGCTGTACCCGTGGAGAGGCATCGTGGCGTACCCTCTTAGTGATTTGATTTCAGACCAGGTTCCACCAAGGACAATTCAGCTCAGTCAAATGAAAGACCTTATGATTCTGTTTTTCCAAACAAAACCATGGACCACCACCATAGCAGAGAAAAACAGCCTTTGTGTTCCCCTGGGAGCCACAGTCTGTGGTTGCCACTGCGAGATCACAGGAGAAAAAGATAACTTCAGTTGCATAACTGCATATTATCCCCCCCACCCCAATCCACCTTTTATCTTTTATTTTTCAGAAAGTGTCACAGTACACCATCATCGTGGAAGCCAGGGATATGGAAGGAAATCTCAACTTTGGCCTTTCCAACACAGCCACAGCTATCATCACTGTCACAGACATCAATGACAACCCTCCCATGCTGACCTCAAGAACCGTAAGTTATTACAAATATGTGGAGAAGGTAACAGTTCAGAAGAAGGGGGTGTGAGTTGAAAGAAGTTTGTGAAAATGAGCAGTAAGATAGAGGGAGAAAACTAGGATGAGGAAGATTTGGCTATAGAGGAAATTATGTGCAGAATGCAAGGAAAGGTGGTAGTCAAAACAGAAGAAAAAAAATATATTTGATTTTACTTCAGTTGTGTTGATAAGTTAATGTTTAACACTTAAAGGTGATTTCAGGTCATCTTACATATAAAGAAACCTTTTTCCCTTTGTATCAGAACAGCAACACCTTTAACAACTATTACAGCAATGCGGTGTAGGTGTAAAATTTGATTTCGGCTTTCATATACTGCAAGTACTTTACTGTTCTCCTGTAAAGGACACATACACACTAGAAACACCGATCAATACTATTGAATTTCTTCTCCAAGAATACATGATCCTGCAAATGGTTAATGATGTTGGCATCATAGGGATATTTAGAATGATGATTACATTACACTGGGTCATTACTCGGAGCAGAGTAAAAATTAAGTCCAATGTAATGCATTTTATGTATTTCAAATCAATATGGAGGCACAACATCTCGCTTTTGCCTTAGACTTACATGAAGTTTATGACTTGTACTATATAGTAATTACAAACTGTGGTAAGACATTTTGGAAATGGCCAAATAACTTTAGACATAAACTATCCAAACATTGCAAAACCATTAATACTTGTATTGTACATAATTGTGCTTTGCTCCAACTAAAAAACATTTATTTTATTTTATGTAGATTTTACATGAGGAAAATCATAATTGAATGGATGTATGTAAAGTTTTTTGTATTTTTTAGTCATTTTCTTTCCACATAATAAGTTAAAAGGCCTTGTCCTCATATGGGTCATCATTCCAACTGTAAAATTTGGTTATGGCAGCAGCATACTGGGGGGATACTGAGGTAGGGTCACAATATCATAATTAAAATATATAGAGAAATCAATAAATGCTAAAAACTTAGTATATAAATGTTTACTTCCTTAAATACGCTGGCTTGTGATGTCACTGCATCCTTTGCATGCAGAACAAGGAAGCTGTATGAATGCAGTTCATACAGGAGATCACATACAAGTCGCATATATTTGGAAATGTGAACGGCAATGCAGAAAAGTCAGATTTCACAAAAAAAAAAATCAGATTTGAGCATCAAGGCCTGCAGTGTGAACGTAGCCTAAGTGACCCTGTGGTTCTGCTTTGTTTAGTTTCTGCTGGACCTCTAAGCCTAGGTTCTATCGTAAAACACAAAGAGAGACGAATTCAGGTAGCTTGGTGCTTTTTGGTTTTTGGAAGCAGGCAGTATTTTACCTTTGATCAAAATTTGAAGAATATGTGTGACTAATGTGTGCAGGGACAGATATTCAGATGTTCTGTCCCATTTGTCCCTACTCTAGATCCATTGGCAAAGAGAGAGTTATTAAGGTGAACAGGACTTTTTAAAGCAGGCTCCATAGGAGTCCAGGATATCCTTGAAAGCTCCGTCCTCTGGTAGTGGGTAGCATAGAGGTCACAGTTTACACTCTGGAAAGCAATCCTGTGTCTTTTATCTCATGTCTGCGTTGCCCAATAATGAGGCAAATAATATTTAACTTTGCTCATAGTCCTCAGAGGGTAAAAGCTGGACTTATAAATATAGCGCTCTTGCATTTGAAAAAAAAAACCTACTGCTAAAAAAAAGAAAAAAAATACCAATATGGTGAGCAATCTAATTAGATAAAGGTTGGATCAAATTTGCTCTTCTCAAGAAGCAGTTGGACCACTTTATGTTTAAATGCAGCCTAAACAGAACCTTAAGAAAGTACAAGGACCTATAGCATTATAAACCATGTTCTACATATCCAGAATAGTTGGGGGACACAGGAGGTATAGTTGGGTCATAGGAAACACTGGAAATGTAAAACCTGACAGCACCAACTATCATTAAAAAATAAAAATAGAGACTTTCACAGTAAAACTGAAGGACAGGGAAAGTAAGGATCAGGATTCAAAAGACAGTTCAAAAGAATTTAAGGCATGCTGATGTCTAAAGATACCAAATTGCAAATAAGCAAAAAATCTTCTAACAGCAGCCTGATACTTAGTGAAGCAGTGTCTGAACGTCCACATGAAAAAATGAAGACATAATGATATTAAAGGAAAGCATTGGGCTGTTGGTTAGGCAGAAAACTATTTTGGCTTAAAACTCTTGAAGAGGACAATATAGGATTAAAATAGGATGAAACTTTGGATCTACAGAGTGCTCTTTGCCCTGGAACTCCAGGACCAAATATGGAGGCTTTGTCGGCAGTATGTTCAGTCCATTCAGTTTGTTATAAAGCAGGTAACTTCAGCATTTGCACTGGGTGCTTTTAGAACCTTATCATGATGTGCTACAGAAATATAAAGGTAGTGTACAAACAGAGCAAAACATAGGAAAAAAGGTCATTGCAAAAAGAGTTCAAGTCAGAGACTAATGAGCAGGCCACCTTGACACCAGGAAAGAAAAAAAAGTAGAGAAAATGACAGATAGATGAGAAAGAATGAGGGAGTACTTATTCACTTGTGCAATTTTCTACAGTAGCAGTGATAAAATATAAACGTGCCTTGGTGTATATCAGAGGCCTTTCCTGGCTCCTTTTCGGCATTAACATTCCTTACCGATGGTGGTATATTGATGATGGAGGGCCATAACAGATTGATATCCTCTAACTAGATTCCACCTAGTTTAAGTGCATTTCCATCAGCGTCACACGAGGAAGTTAATATTATCAAGAATATTGATGATAAACTTTAGTGGAGGTTCAGGATTAGAAATGAGGAAAGCACTTTCACCCACTTCCCCTCATAAATCATCTATTTTAGTAGGGGGAGATAACATAAAAAGCCATTTTGTTGAGATTGCAGGCCATTATGCAAATATTTTGTTTTAGCAATAAACCCCATAGATCTTTCAACGTGTCCCAGAAATATAAAGTTTGGGGAATTTGTCTTTAATGCCAATGATTAATATTTCATCATCCCTATCAGATGGTGGCCTATTTTTTTTAAACAGGCACGGGGGTTTGTGTGTGTGTGTGCAGACGCAAGGCCTTTAGGTGTTTATTGGATATTTTCTCTAATGCATATAGATGTGATAAAATGAACACAAAATGAACCATTCTGCTTGGTTTGATTTGTCTGTGCAAGATTGACCGTGCAGCTTTCTTGGCTTCTTGTGAAGCTCACTTGTCACTTTGCTACTCTCTTTCTTCCTCCCTTTCTCCGTCATAGCCTTTCTTCACTGCCAAAGCAGTGACAGAAGAATAAGGGTTCTGGCATGAGGTATTATGTCAAGCATTGACAGAAAGCCAGCTATACCCATTGCCAATCCAAGATCCACCCCTCCACCATAAAATCCAACACTTAAGAGTCGAGAGACATTATCACAGACAGGAAAAAAGCCTGATTAAATGTTTGTGTCTCTGCTTTAGTTTTACAAGAGTTTTGTTTTGAAACAACCACAGAAAACCATACCCTAGCAGGACCATAGTAGCTAATAAAAATGAGAATGAAACGTTTCAGTTATAAAGCACTACAACTGACACTTATTTGCACCACTGCAGAAGAGAGAAAGAAAGCTTTAAGATTTATAAAGAATTATACATACATATTTTGCACAGTAAAAATGTATTCTTTATAATCAAGCATTTTTTTGTGTATTTTTTTTCCTAGTTGTTGGCATACCTATCAATCAAAGTAAAAAAAAAAAAAAACAATGTGTCTTTAAGCTTTTAAGTAGTTGTGCATTGGTGATTATTTATTTATAGTGATTGCAGATTATAAAAAGGGCAGTACAAGCTACAAATATCAACAGATGTGAGATATATAAGCTCACTTTTAAATTATGGCAGCAAAAAATTGTTGTCTTGGGGTCACAGTTTTAACAGGAACCATTAGAGCCTTTACCAGGTGAACAACATTCTTTAGAAAGCATGCCTGTCTTGTCCTAAAAACAAAGCCTAAATGTGTGGATCTCATCTTAGTTTTTATATTTCTTTTTCTCTTGCCATCTTATTTGACTTCATCAAACTGTGCAGCAGAAAAAAGATGAATCCCACCCAAATTATGTCAGAATACAGAATTGGAACACACTATTGGCAACACATATACTTTAAAGATAGGACAGGACTTGGTTTTCAGAAAATCATCCTTCCTTTTCTAATTTTAAAATAAGATCAAGTCTTTTTTGGTAGAAAACAGTGGTACAGCAGAAGCAAATGCATTGCAAGTAGCAACATTGACACAAATATATTTGCGCATGAGAAGGTTTGTCTTGTTGTTTTACACACAATAACAATCCTAATAAACACACTACCTTTCTTCTTATACTCTAACCTTGTCATATACTGTAGGCTAAGGGACACAACTGTGCTTAAAAAGTAATTTGTGTAAAGGTTGAATATCTGGATGTAAATTTAAGTTCCTATTCTACATTTGGAAAGTTCAAAGATAATAAAAACAGACCGGTTATTTTTTGAGGAATGAAAAAATACAATTCTGTGAAAAACACATTTGCTGACACAGGATCCTGAGTCTCATCCTCAATATTACAATATGCAACAAAATATTTTCCACAAATTACTTCTATCTTAATCATGTAGTGTGATTAAATTGAATGAAAGATCTAATGGCACAAATGATAAAGATAGCTAATTGTTTGATTCTTTTTTTGTTTTGAATCCTGCTTCTGTTTAAAGCTGAAATAATATGTTGTATGCGTACTTCAAAAAGTGTTAACAACATTTCACATTACTTGTTTAAACAAGATTTAATGAGACACTAAATACAATCCCATTCATTTCCCCCAAATAATAATAATAATAATAATAATACCAACACTTCTAACTGCAGTGTTGCTAGTCAGAAATGTAGTGAATCATTTAAAGGCTTCAGTCAGGCTTGCCCTTAGCTGTTACTGTGTGCTATAAACAAGATCTTGGAGGGTTCCTACGGGAATCTCAGAGCTTCCTCTGAAGTTTCCCTTGTTGTATTGGTATCAGGGAGTCCTTGAACCAAACCACAGCAATAAATTGCAGAAGCTCACACAAACAAATGTTCAGACAATAGCATATGACAGCCTGCCTATTTACTCAAGGCAGACAGTCCATCAAGACCACCCAGACTTGTCTGTTGTCTTAAGAATGTCACTGAGTATCTGAATCGCTCTCCTGACGCAGCTATCTAATCTGCCCGCTGCTGTCGGCTATTTGGTGGTTGATGCGAGCATGGCCAGGCAGGGTATTATGGTCTGTTGGAGGGTTTGGTCTGTGGCTTTGCTCTTTGATATCCTTCAGCCACATAAGCGGCTCAGCAGCTCATCCATGCCTGTTACCCGCAGTGACACGGTGACTGTGTGGTGCTACATGCCTGTTATCTCCAGAACAGTTGAAAACATACCATGACCTCATGTCTCTGGACTTGTCGAGTTGTTTACGTAGGTGTGGCTGCAGTCAGCTTTAGTTTTTCAGGCTTCTTGTAGAGTCAGTGTCATTTATCCCCTGAGCTTGTTCAAAACAAACAAGATTCCCTTCCATAACAGGCACATGACAGACAGCGGCTTGGTCCGCGTCAGGCTTATCAGGACTAAGCACATGTGCTTATAAAGCATGGGTCCAACCAAAAACTTCTTAGATCAACTCAAACAGATGTTTCAAGCTTATACACTGATAGCTTTTTTCGTCTGCAAACATTTCTCCTTCTTGTCATTCTGGATTTCAAAGGAATTAGACATTACTGTTCATCAAAGAATACAGAAGACATTGAAAGTAAAACAATGGTGTTTGCATCTGCTTGATGGTGTATAAGCTGTGTTTTCTCCATGCTTACCATTCGACTTTCGGTGCAAGTGAGATAATTCCTTGGAGGTAAAACTTTAAAGGATTCTCTTTTATAAAGGAGCTCAATTGATCTAAACAGAACGGAAGGCTAGTAAAAGTAACTTCATTTTAGAAGGATGTTGCTAAACATTTTACTCTGCTTTTTTCAGTTCTCAGGTGAGGTCACAGAAAACACAGTGAATGTGGTGGTGGCAAATCTGACTGTTCTAGATGGCGACCAGCCTCACTCACCTAACTGGAACGCCGTGTACAGGATCATCAGCGGGGACCCAATAGGGCACTTCACTATTCGCACAGACCCTGTTAGCAATGACGGCCTCGTCTCTGTGGTGAAGGTAATGGACTATCCTTTGATCTCATATTTCATTATTTTGGCTATACTGAGTTTATTATAATGTCACTGTATGATTTTAGACTGCATTATTAACTCACTTGATCAAGAATTACAGATGGATAGTAGCTTAAGCTATCAGATTAATCACGATTAATTGATTATTTAAACAATCTTCAACTAATTTAGTAATAGATTATTGGTTAAAAGGAGTATAGAGACTCTTTAACATGCCTTTAGGTCACTTGGAGCAGTAATTATACCAAGACTGTCAAAAAATATGTAATACATTTTGGATTTAAGATAAAAAACGTTTTCTTTTGTCAATATGCTCTATCCAGAAGTAAAAAAGTTTTGCTTTCATCTGGTGTGATTTCTTAAAAATTATTCTTTAAAGAACCTTTGACCATCTGATTATTATTTGACAGATTAATCCAAAAAAATAATTAACAGATTAATCGATTATGACAATAATTGTTAGTTGCAGTCCTAATGAAAACCGTCTTTTTTTTTTTTTTTTACAGTACATTTTTGTACAATGTTCCTGTTAAATAAACTAAAGTATGATCTCTTGTTCTCTGTTTAATATGAGATCCCATCTGGACTTTGGTCTGAGCTAATATAATAGGCAACAGAGTTAAATGAGGTAAGGCTGAGGTCTTTGCCTTTCACATGCCCCTTTGTGTCCAAAAGAAGGATTGGAGGCTAACGAGGTCTTCAGAAAAAGCTCATGAACTCAAACATAGACTTAAATATGGTAGCCGGTGAGACGGCTGCAGCAAATTAGTTATTGATTTCTCAATTACAATAGCAACGGTTTATACACTGTTAATGTTCTTGCTGCTGTGGTAAAAGACAGTAACAACAAAGCCATGTCTTGTTACAACTTGCTATGTTAGTGGCTAGAGCACTCAGATAAATGTTGACCCCATATTAAAAGGACCTTGGCTATATTCCTTCAAGCTTTGTTTAAACCCCTTGTTTTCATTTTTGAAGAAAAAAAAAAGAAGCTGTGTCTAATTGGTTGGTTACCTTTTAATTTAAGACCTTTCAAAACCTTTATTGCATTAGCACAGGTTTGAAATGTAAAGTGTTTCTACACTGAAAAGTTATTCTTTAAAGAAGAAATTTCACAAGAGCAAACAAACCAACTTTAGCCTGAAGTTAACGGGACCTTACCTTTGTATAGGGATCACTGCAGAGAGTTTTAAGGTGCTGCTGTGGTATTATTCCTCCTCACTTACATATGTTCACATTAACAACATCTGTCTCTATAATACATCTGATTTTCTTCCTATGAAAATATTTAAAGTACTTCCATAGGAGCTTGCCTTTATTCAATATGCAGGAGAATCTACCAGGTAGAGCATGTTGGGGCCAAAAAAAATGACTGAGAAATAACAGGTATAATCAGGGCTGCTGAAAGTCATTTGGAAAGTTGGGTGCTATGAACATTTTTTTTGGGGGGGTGGGGGGGGGGGGGGGGGGGGTGGGTGGACAAAGGAACTGTGAGCCTATAAGCCTATTTAAAATAGAACAAATAAAAATAAATAAATAGATTGAGATTCACTACTTTATTGTCCTATACACTTCAGTGCACGCAACCCGGGTCTGTAACACACAGACATCATCAGTTCTCAGGTGAATATAAGAGCTATTATGGTAATGCTGATACTGGTAATTAAACTTCACAATGACACTATAACAACGTAGGTTTGGTCAGCTGGGATGAACTTTAGTCACTGTGTTTGTCACATGTGACTATTAGCTCCAAAATCCTTTTACGAAAACCACAAGGAGGTAATTATATAACACTATTTAAACATTCAAACACACTGTCAACTGCATTCTATATGATGTGTAGTAAGTATAAGGCCATGAATAAGGCTATATAAGGCAGTACAATTGCATCAGCAATTACTTAACAGTTCTCCATATCCACAAAGAAAAAAGGATCAAAATAGATCAAAGATCAAAACAACACTCTAAAATACTATCGTTACGTTAAGCTGCACAAATAGATATGAAAGTGCTCGGCACCATACTCTTACTTTGAGCTACAGGCAGAGTGACCTGGTTACATGCTAGGTTGGGTTGCGGGTGGTCTGGCTGCCGGTGAAACTGCTATCAGAGGCGCACGGACAGTCTACTCCCTCTGGCTGCTCTCTGTTGTCTTTTCTCTAGTGTTCTTCTTCCCTTGTGGCGGTTAAACAATCCGAAATGCGACTCTGTGCCATATTCCCTCCTTGTTTCTGTCATTGGACTATGTAAATTTACTAGTGTGCTGCCAAGAGCAGATACCTCTTTTCTCTGCAACCACTAGCTTGCTCAACGTTGCCATGCCAAATACTTTGCACACATTTATAATTTATGCAAAGCGTAAAAAAAAAAAAAAAAAATTAAATCTCCCCCTCACCACTAGGGGGTGCTGCAGGGCCCCTAGCACCCCCACTTCCTACGGCCATAGGTATAATAAGCAGAAGTGTCGATGATTTTGTTTGCCTGATAAGTCATCATCAAAATCTTTGTCTAGTCTACGCCTTGACAACGAAAACTCACCACGCCTCATTATTTTGCAGGTATAAGAGCCGTGTTTATTTAGTCACCGTCCCATTGACATCAGGAAAAAATGGTTTGTTTTTTGCCATTCTCCTTGTTGATGAAAACAACACTGCCACAAAGATAAATCATTATCTACTTTATATCCGTAAAGCTTTGCTATATTTTTTTTACACACAAAAAAGGGATTTTAAGTTTGACTAAACTGTAGCCAAAGCGTCCTCCAATTCATTTAAACCAATTTTTATATATTCTTGTGTTTCATGTGTGGGATGAATAGTTGGAGTCCTTTTGATTAGTAATTTTGCTATCCACTAAATTGTTTGAAACTTAGAATTTCTATCTTAATGCAGAATTAAAAGTAAAAATAATTCATTTTTGATTAAAATTTAGTTTTATAGCTATTAAGTTTATGGGATATCAGTTTCATTCTCCCGTTTGGGAGTCATTAAGATGCGCTGCACACGTTTTAATGTTAAATATTATTGTGGGGGTTTCCTCCACACAGTACACATCCTTAGAATTGCCTGCCATGTAAAATAAGCCGGCCTCCATTTACTGCAGTTGGCACTAAAGGCTCCATTAGTCATTCCATGAGAAATTGATTTGGTCCGAATTCTTCGGACCTGCACACAGGTGTGACAGGCTACATGCTCACCTGGCTGCTTTGTTGAGTTTCTGCCATTGCAAGAGAACAGGAGCAACAGTTTTATGAAGAAAAGACAAAAGACCAGCAAAGTACATTTTAAACCCCATTAAAGATTCCAAACAAAAAGTAAAAGGAAATAAAATTTGTCTGGTGGGACGGAAGGGCCAAACTGGAGTCTAATCGGTGATAGAATAAGACAAGAGTAATTATTTGGGAAGCTTTTAACAAAAAGGGAGTAGTGTAATAGTTTAATGGTGCATAACTGTCTGAAGATTAGGTTAGTAAACTACATTAAACTTAGTATACCCAGAAGTTTTAAGAGGGTATAAAAAGGTCAACAATAAAACAAAAGTCGATACACAATCTGATTGTTACTCTGTGTGCACTTGTTTACACCCTGGAGGTTTTTAATAACCTTCCTTTGTATATTTGTATGTTGCATGTGTTCCTATAAGGCTCTTATCATGTTTCACAGATATTATTTATTAATGTGACCTTCTGGAGCCAGAGATGTTTTCAACATCCATCTGACTCCTGCAAATCATATCTCACAATAATGTTAACAAATAGCACTAACATGCATTATAATTCCCTCTGCAGTCTGAGCAATGAGCACTGGTGTTTTGCTTCTCTTCATTATCTCTAGATGACTGACTTTAATAATCCATTCCTCTCACTCCCTGTGAAATTCAGCAGGCAGCTGGGTAGCCGTAAGCTTGCATGAGACCCATGGGAGGTTATCAGGAAATCATAAAATAAGAGACAAGCCACCCCCTGAGAGGAAATAAGCAATACACTGTCTCAACAAATAAACACAGGGGCTTCAACTCAAACAGAGAAAAAATTACACAACCCAAACATTCTCATTTGATAATTTTTGAAAAAATCAAGTGTAGAAGCCACATAAAGTCTTTCCCTTGTAATCATAGTTTTCTTACCAAGTCATCCATGGAGACAAATGGTAATAACACCAACACCTAGGTAGCTATCAGTCTACCACGCGGACCTTGCACTTCTGCGTAAACAAGGCTTTAAGTCTTAACAGGAACATGTCACACATTTACGCTGCTCTCTGGAGGATTTTAAGAGTCATTCTTATTTTGTCGCATGGTAATAGAGTCTGTAGGGTAACAACTTCACATTGAAAGCAAACAGATAGAGCCACTTGCTTCAAATGAGTCATTAAGATATGTAAATCACAGATTATGTTAAATACACAAGATGAGAGGGGAAACAGGAGAGGAGGAGAAATGTGCGACCAAGGCAGATTTCCTTGGATTGAGAATTCAGGCCTCCTGAGAGCTTAGATCACAGAGAAGCGAGGTGGGGCAGAGGTGAGGAACCAACAGGGCTGGAATGGGGAGTCCAACGGTGCAAATTATGTAAAAGGGAAGGAGAAAATGGGCAAAGTGGTAGAGAGGAGATACAAGATGTGATAGCTCATGGGCAAGAGATGGAAGCCATGTTATTGACCTCTCACCCCTGTGGTTTCCCTCAGGCTGTGTGGGTTTGTGTAAATGTGTGTGTTTTACTTTAGCCTTCAGCTATACTCCAGACCTCCCGATGATCAGAACACCACAGGCTTTAGATCAAAGAGCAATGAGCGTGGTTTGCCTTCAAATGGGTTACCAGTGGTCTATGGGGTCGCACATACAAGTCCACACTTCCTCTCTTTTATTAATAAATATTTATGCACATATGCCGGTGTGTGCAATCATAGGGAAACTATTGCACCAACAATCACACAAAGGAACACTTTCCCCCGCTGTGCTGTGGTCAACCAATCATCCTGATTAACAATGCTGTTTATTGTCCCTCTGTGTTCACACTGATAACAATAAAGCAGTGCAACATAAGGATCCACTTAGAGTCGTCTGCGTTACTATCAAGCATAAGCTCTATGGCTGTAATCATCATCTGGTTGTTATAAGATGTGCAGTTCTTACAAAATGCCTATTCGTTCTGTTTTTATCACTGCTCATTGTTGTAATTTGAAGTTGATCTTATAGTCTCCAAAAACAAACGACTGTGACACTGGTTTAAGCTCCAAATGTTTCACTTTGAGCATCCAGGACATAGCAACAGTACCTGAAATCTCAGCACAGTTCTTTATGTACATGCATTGATGTGTGATGGCCACGTTGACATGGTAAAGCTGTACTTTTATCACATCAATCAGACAGACACTGACAAATGATTCTTTGACTAGTGTTTTTATATTTAAAAAGAGGAATTATTCCTATTACTTACAACAAACCGCTACTTCAAATTTTGCTACCTAGGCTTTCATAAGGACTATAATACTATTAATAGTAAAATTAAAAGGAGAATAACAATGGACTTGAGGAATTGTGTTTATCTGTTTGACTCTTAAACCCTGCTTTTAACTTACAATACTTTTAGAAACTATTTAATTAATTACAGATTACCTTGGTTGTTTTTTTTTTGTCACCTTTTTTTATCTGGCTTTTATTGCCATTACATTGTCACAAGTACAGAGCAACAAATTTAACTCTCTGCATTTAACCCATCCCCTAGGGGAGCAGTGGGCTGCCATTGTGAGGTGCCCGGGGAGCAGCCTGGGTTAAGGGTCTTTGCTCAGGGAGCCAGTGTGGCAGTCTGTGAGATTGGGCCTCGAAACTCAAAACCTCTGGATTTCAAGAGCAATGTCCTAACAACTAGGCTGCCACACCCCACAAAACATTTAAAAGTTTTAGTAAATTAAATGAATCTAAAATTCAGACAAATATATAATGAATGAATACCTTGGGGGTGCTGCATGCCGTCTTTTAGGTGGTCTGTACTGATGGACATAGGCTACTGGCCTTGTGGTCTGGCTGCCTCTAGGTGGGCTCAGGAACCTGGGACACTGTCTTGGCCTGGGGGGCTTGGGTCTTGGCAAGTATGTTGCCAGGTTTTTATACCGGTTTATACCAGACTGGCAGCCCTTGGTGTATTGGTGCGCCTAACGCTGGTGGGGGTGTGGATGTATAGAGCCTCCCTCCACTGTTAGGTCTCAGGGTATGGGCTGTTTAGGTCAGCAGGGGATTTGACTCCCTAGGAACGCCAATTTGTCCCCCAGTCCTTTCCCCCCCATTTCCCAACCACCTCCCTACACCCTGACAGTTGGTCTGTTACCTAACCTTTTAAGAATTTCAACCTATGCTTTCTTTAATCATAATTTCATTACAGCCTGGTGATGTTGTTGGGGGTTGTTTTGAATGGCTTGTAAGTTCATCCTACTATATCGTAAATAGATTTAAAATCTTGATTTGTTTACTCCAAAAGCTTAATTTTATTTTTCTAAGCTATTTACAGGTGGATGTGCAGGTGTACTTTGGAATATTTCCTAAAACACTTGCATCTAAGTGTCATAAACTGATTGTCAGACTTTCTTATTTTGCAGTATTTAGGAGACAGCAGAACCTATGGTACCGTACATCAGTGTATGCTGATGAAGGTTCTCAGTCATCCAGGTCATAGTCATTCCGTAAAAATTCAAAAAATATCCACTGGACTTGGTTTTCAAGATTTGAAGACGTTTCGCCACCTCTCCAGGAAGCTTTCTCAATTCAAATGTCTGGATCTGCAGTGAGTTTGAGTCTTATATGGACAAGGCCTTGTATTGTAAGGCCTTCCATTGCTTGTTTCCAAGCAATACAAGGCCTTGTCCATATAAGACTCAAACTCACTGCAGATCCAGACATTTGAATTGAGAAAGCTTCCTGGAGAGGTGGCGAAACGTCTTCAAATCTTGAAAACCAAGTCCAGTGGATATTTTTTGAATTTTTACGGGACGTACATCAATGTAGAGCGAGAATGAGACACTGTTTGGTCTTGAGAGTTTTTTCAGGAATATATAATTGGGAGACAAGTATTTGGCGAACATGGGGGTTTTTCCATTTGCAACGCTTTTACAAGTCTTTATGTACTCTTCAACAATGAAAGCTGCAATCTAAAAGGAAAAATCCAGAAAGACAGATTTTTATATTTAATTTAATTTAAATTGAAAAGGCATATCACCTGCTGGCAAACAAGAAATAAGTAAAAGGGACCAACTACACAAGTAAAAAATATGTTAGCTGTGATTTAAAGAAGTGGCTGGAGTAAAGTAACATGCCCTTGTACAGGAAATTACTTAAAGCTTACTGTTTTTCACAAATGAATTAATGATTTTTCTCATTCTCCAGCCAGTTGATTTTGAGATGAACCGTGCCTTCATGCTCACGGTGGTGGTGTCTAACCAGGCCCACCTAGCTAGTGGGATCCAGTCTTCGCTTCAGTCAACCGCTGGTGTCACCATATCTGTGAAGGATGTCAACGAGCCACCTTATTTCCCCACCAACCCTAAACAGATCCGATTCGAGGAAGGTGTTCCCACTGGCACCAGCCTGACCACTTTCTCAGCTTCAGATCCTGACAGACTCCAGATGCAACAGATAATCAGGTACAGCATGCACACTGTGCTTTGCCATTGGTTCTTTTCACTCTTGGAAGTTTATTCTAAATTCTTAACTTATTTCAAACTCTTACTTACTGTACTCCAAGAACAAAAATCTTAAGGATAGTTCGCTTGCAATAAGAGGTAAAAGTGCAGCTACAGGAGTGATATTGGCTGTACCCATCATTCTTAACTTATTTTCTTAAGTATTGGAGATAACTTTATGCAGCATCAACATTTAGAGCTTGATCTTCAAACAGGTGCAAACAGCCTTTTTTAATATGCAGACCACATTCTAATAAGCAGACCACCAAGTTAATGGGTGGAGGATACGCAAATCTAGATATTTGCCATAGCCACCGTTTTTGCGTCTTTTTATCACCACTTTACTTTTGTTCACAGCTGTTTGAGATGAGGCTTTGTGGGTACAAGGTGCACTATAAATATTGTTTTTTCTAATATCATTATTACCTCCATCTCTATGGCCTGAAACCTCACCTTTCTTTTACAGCCACTCGTAAACTGCCAGTTGAACATGCACTTTGCTCATTTTAATGAGCGTAGCCAAATCGATTGTACATCTTAACATTTGTGCTGTAATCTTTGGCTCTGATGTTAAACAGGATCTAACTGTAAAAACATCCAGTAGACCCTAATTTTTGACGTCTTGCTGTCGGTTCAACTTTCTGGCTAAAGGTGCTGTGCCCCTTCAGAAAGAAGTGCTCTATTAATAACCCTCTGAAATTACGAAGAGATTTAAATCATGACGCAATTGCAAAGCTCACACTTTATTAAATGCCTATAGAATAGAGTAAGTGTATTGGCATAATTGAAAATAGGAAGTGAGAAATTTGCAATTGAGACAACAACATGGATGTTCTGTTTGGGATTAATGCAGCCTCACACTCAGCTACTCCTTCTTTCTAATTTTCTTTGTGGGGAACATATCTAAACAATTTTCTCAGTTAATTTCACAGCAGATGAGAGGGTAAATTGTGTGTACATTATACATTTGGAAGACACTAAAGCCACCAGCTGGGGCTTCTCCCCCTCTGTTTGACTTATTTCTCTATTTCTCTCTCTCTTGTTTTTGCTCTCTTTTTAATTAGGTTTTTATAAGTTTTTTTTATATAAGTAGGTATGGGACTGCTCAGTGATGCAGTGGGTAGCACTGCTGCCTTGCAGCAAAAAGGTTTCCGGTTTGATTCCCGGCCCGGGGTCTTTCTGCATGGAGTTTGCATGTTCTCCCGGAGCATTTTACTCCGGCTTCCTCCCACAGTCCACTGTGTTGTAAATGGTTGTTTGTCTCTGTGTTGCCCCGCGATAGACTGGCGACCTGCCCAGGTGTATAATGACTGTATAAATGTTTGGTAGGAATGCTTTAAAAGAGCCAAGACATTAAATAGAGTACTACAGCATAATCCAAAAGTCAAACTTAAGGTGAAAATCGGCTTGAGGGACTTAAGAGTACTGCCAAGCAGAAACAAACTGTGGACAGTGAGATAACTTTAGGTCAAGGTTTTGACTTGACAGGTGCTTATCAAAGACAGGACATACTGAGGTGTCCCATTGTGATTAGGCCAGAGAGAGAAAGAGAGAGAGAGAGAGAGTGAGAGGTCGGGACAGCAAGGCTTAATGCATCACCTGTCATACACACAACCAGTAAGGGCGAGAGATGGGACTGGAGACACTGGCATGAATGATTACCCAAACTGCCTCAGCTATGCTCAAGACATGCATTTTTTATCCTCTGGGTCGGGGGTTTGAAAAATAAATGTCATACCTCTCCCTGCTGCTTGCTAAGATCACTAACCTGCCAGGACTAATCATACATCCAGCTGTATTCAAACACCTCCCAACTCCCAAATGAGCTGAGCCTTCTGGTGGTAGAGACATGGGGAAGCATAGCAAATGATGCACAGGAGGAGATTGTACAAGCAAACTACCAGTTTAACATATAATCCTAATTTTCTTCAAAACTGCAGCAGAAAAAAATAACTAATTATTTTATATTTTCTAATGTGTACACTAATGTGAACACTTTGAACCACTGAAAAAAACAAGTCTACCGGTATTATTATTAGGTATTAACAATAACATAATAGAGCTGTAAAAACTGATTACAAGGTCAGAAAATACTTTAATTAAAGTTCCAAAGCAGAGAACAGAACTCTATGCATACATTTGTTTTTTACCCTAATTTGTTTTTGAGACTAATTGTAGATCAAAACCAAATAAACTCTCTAAATTTATTAGCCATTTTAGCTTAGACTCTGCTAACTTAATTACCCCTCTTTTTGAACAAGAAGGATATTGTTGAACACAGAATTAAACAACATAGATGAAATTAATTTAAACTCAATACATTTGCAGTAAATTTAAGTTATTTAAAGATTGTTTTAAGACTAATAGAAAAAGCCACAGTAGAGAGTGACACAGTCTGCCTTTGGAGTTGCTGGCTAAAACTAAACTCCTATTGCATTATTGGATTGCTCCCCCCTGAGGATCAATGCAAAGTCAGATTTTTCTAAGGTGATCTTATCCTTTCCTATCCTTAATGTCTTCATATAGCATTTTATGGTGATTCCATTTGATGGAAAAAACTACTTTTGAACAGACTTGTTCTCCTGGTTCAGAAAATAATACTTTTCTTGGAACACTGTTATCGTTAATTGCTATTGATATAGCAACATGATGATCTCCGATATGACTGATGCCTACGATTAGCATGTTCTAAAAATAAGGTGTGGAGTGGGGCCATATTGATTGGCCTAATGATACATAACAAAGTCTAGGCTTTGTGAATCACTCCCAGGTTAACGCTCCAACGTTACTTTTGCATATAAAAGACGCTTAACTAAAAGATAAAAGATATACTCACCATTACTTCACATTCACTTGTATACAATCTGCATATATATATATATATATATATATATATATATATATATATATATATATATATATATATATATATACATATATATATATATATATATATACTCTTTTTATGAAAAATATATTTTTTTAATCATATATCTATTATTGTAGACTTATGATATTATTTTATCTTAATAATGCTCTTTGATGTTAATGCAGAAAAGTAAGGTTAGGGGAAAGCTTTTAAATAAAAAGCTATTTTAAGACCTGACAGGTTTAACTCTGCATGTCATGTTTTGACAGTAACTCTGTTTACCAGTTGGCTTCAGCCTGTTTAGAGTGTTAGTCTTTGACAGTTTGACTGCTATAAAATGTTTACCTGCTGTTTTCATTAGACAACCCCACTTTTTCTTTGCACAAGTGTTAGAAAAGTATTTCATGACTTAAAGCTTCCTCCACCTTAACTGGCATCTGTGGTAATTATTTCAGTTTTTTTGCTGTAGAATTCATGTTCTAGAACACAAAGAACAAGCAATTTAATTTGAGTCAGTTTATGAGGTGATGGAAAGGTTATACGAAAAAAGAAATAGTTTTATCTTTATCATCAGGCCCACGGTTATTGGGACTTAAAATATTTTCTACTTGTGATGTTATGGTTTATCAGAGGACTGTGGTAACCATAGCTGTTTGTGTAGTTGTAGTTTGTTTCAAACTACGCAAAGGCTAACTTGCAGTGGAGTTGAACAATTTCAGCTGCAGTAGGCATTAAATGCAACAGCTGTGTTTGATCATGCAGTGATGCTGGTATTTCTGAATCTTTTCTGTTCTTCCTCTTTTCCTTCCCACCCATTTGGCTAATTTCCTTCACTCCCTCTGCCACCCCCTGTTACAGACTCACCGAGTTATTAGTGAAGGTTTTACAATCTGCGAGTCAAGCTTCCTTGTGTGTAACCACTTTAAGTATAGAAATATCCCTGACATGATCTTCGTCTCTGCAATGCGCTGTGCCTGGGAATCCTGCCTACTGCCTGCTGGGAAAATTCCACCGCCTTCTCAGCAGGGGAGAGATTTTACTTTCTGTCCTCCACCCCGGCCATTACTACCTGCTGCCACCTATCACTCCAAAGCTTTTTCTTTTTTTTTCTTTTCCATTAAGGAGAACCATATTCATGAATACTTTTTCATTGAAAAATAAGCAGGTTTTGAACTGCAGTATATTCAGCCGGTGTAGGTACCAGATTGACTCGGGCTGCCAGATTGACTCGGGGGCCTGCGCCTTTTGAGATGCGTCAGAGCGTCCGCCATCTTAAATGTGGCAAATCTGCAGTTTCTCAGTCACTTAAACAGTATCAGAGGGACTTTAATCTCTGAATATACTTTGTATTCGTAGTATTTTTGGTTTTGTAATATTACAAGTTTATTTTTTGTATCCCTTTAGCTTCATTCTCCTGAATTTATTCTCGTTACAAATGCAGACCGCGGGCTCAATGTAGTTTGTTTGAGTGGCATTGCCATAATGTCACGTCATCGGGAGGCGCAAGGCCCATGGCGAATTCGGTGACGTCATCAGAAGGCGCAGGGACCATGGAGAATGTCTTCGTAAAATTGTCCGTTTACAAACAGCAATCCCGCTTTCGAATAAAACCTACACCCCGCTATAATTACTTTAGTAAGCTGTCCAGACCAATCAAAATGTTTTGCGCAATTGTGCAAACGTTAAAACAATTATGTATTGTGACGTCATCAAAAGGCGCAGGCCCCCGAGTCAATCTGGCAGCCCGAGTCAATCTGGTACCTACACCGGCATGAAAGCAAAAATAAGGTCAAATCTGTTTCTATAAAGATGGATTTAAAACCTGATATATAGAATATAAGACTTGCCAGTTTGCCCTTCCTGCCTTCCAGTAAATTAAATCACACAGATGTAGAAAACCTTGTTGTGTGAGGTCAAGGTGTCACATGTTCACAGATGATGCTTTTACATGGGAGTGAGACTGCATTTAAGCGAGAATGCAGCTAGTGAATACTCTATCGCAAAGCAAACAAAAGAATGGGTGAAAGGACACAGACAGGGATAAGAAAATGTATGAATGCCGGGAGCAGCTAGATCAGTCTGACAAACTATTCCCCAAATAACTAAAAGAATGGAAAAGGGCAATAGCAACAAAAGCCAGTGAGACCAAAACAGTGAGATCAGAGTGATAATAGGGATTTAGTCTAAGAGAGGATCCTGGTTTTTTTTTTTTTGCATCTTTGTCCCAGAAGAGGGCTGCCACCTTCCAGCACGTCGCATTTCTTGTTCATTGATCAGTACAAGGAGTCCTCCAAAATGAGAAAACACTAAAAATGTATCTACTTTACCCAGTCAGGCAGTCAAAACCTGTCCCACCTTAGATTGAACTCTTTTTTTTTCCAAAGTGTGCTAACATGTGTGCCACCATTAACAAACAATTCACACCCTGACGGTTTTAGCAGCACATAGGCAAGGAGGCAATTTTATTGCCGGTACACAGCAGTTAAAAAAAAGTTAAAATTGACTGTAGGCTTTGGCTCTAAGTAAAGAATCAATAAGAAAATAATTGCTGTGATGTTTAGGGTGTTCTGATTTTGTGCATGTGTTTCAGAAGGTAATCTGTGTTTCACTGGCATAAGAAAAGTGGCATAATGGATTGCTTATAGACGTACTGTAGAAACTCCAGCGCTAACTTCTGCATCTATCTATCCATGTCTGTGTTTAGGTACTCAAAGCTGAATGACCTCGCAAACTGGCTATCTATCAACAGAACCAGCGGTCAGATAGTAACTACAGGAGTTCTGGACCGGGAGTCTGTCTATGTAAAGAACAACATTTATGAGGCTACTTTTCTGGCTATAGACAATGGTAAGAAGCTGTACTCTTTTCTCGTATTTGCACTATATAGTTTATCAATGCTGCTGTGTTTATTGTACTTTCAAAACAACAACATAGACCCGTGGATGTGGACGGAGATCTACATTTTTTTGTCCTTTTCAAGTCAGTCATATTTAGATCTTCAGTAATACCAATTGTCAATCTGCCAACATCATTATTTTTTTTTACTTTAAACCCTAAATAGTTTAATTTACAAAGTTTTTTTTGGTTCAAAGCAAAAGGAAACTATTTAATTGTGTTTTCATGAATAGAATTTAGCTTTTAATTAGAACCAAACTGTTCTGTGTGCAACCCCCAGATTCAGGCTTATGATTTGAAATTTTATTTTTGTATGAAGGTATTTCTGTTGCAAATTTTATTGGTGTAGAGTGTGCACTTAAAGGCAAAGAGAAAAATCCTTTAAAAAAAAAAAGGTTAAAAAAATAAAACAAATGAATTTCAGTAGATTCAGATTTTTCATTTATAAGACCTTTTTTTGGCTCTCTTTTAAACTCCTTGATCCCTGCAAATCTTCATCATTGCCATTTGTTTTATATTTTCACAAATACAAAAACAGGTCATTTTTTTCTTGTTTTCAATACAAGTAAACACATTTTAGTCTGAGTCACCCATCAAAACCCTCTCACTGTCATTTTTTATTCATATTGATCTAATCCATACTGTTCTCAATATATCCAGAACTTTGTATGAAATATTAAATGTTTATATTTCTTTACCAATCACAGACACAAAACTGCTGTTACACCTTCAATCATTTTTTTGTCGAGGTACACAAAATATAAAAACTCATGTGTTATATCTTTGCTTCAGGTAGTCTAGCACATTTTGAGCATAACACATTCACAAACCTATGCTTGAACACAAAACAGTAAATGCAACTGCAAACATTTGCTGACATGATTCAAAAATGCTGCTTTATGAATAAATATGGCTTAGATAGACTCCTTGGCACTTAGAGTATTAAGGAAACAAAAGGAAAAAAATAGGGCATCAGCTGCACAAGATTGTGTTGATTAGGTTGTAGTCATGAACATCTGCTGTATACTGCTGTGAGTGAATGGCAGAGTGGATTTATAAACTTACATCACGACACAAACTGTCAAATCTTTCTTTTTATGTTAACTTTAGATCTAAAGTTTAAAGGTGGTTTGTAGCAGTTACATAAACGCCTCCCTTTTTCTGCTTTAACAGTTAAAAAGTCTACACATATTAGCAATGCTATTTTCCTTGCTCTGTCACACTGCTTCAGGGTAACTACATGGATTAAATCAAAATATCTCTACATAGGCCTAAAGATTTTCTTGATATATTGTCTATAACAAATCTGACCAAAAATATATGTAATGAGACTAAATTAAAACTCTCTACAGTTGATAAATTACTTTTAAACAGTTTGAAACAGGAATGTTTTCTTTGTCATTTTGCTTTCAGGTTTTCTGACTTTAAAGGTATAGTGGAGGATTTTTGCGAAATTTTTGAATAGACCTGGCCTATTGCACATGCACAACCCTGTACCAGCTCCTGAGATGGAACGCCTATTAAACGTGTGCAACAACATTGCCCTAGCCCATGCATTGCTTATATAAGCTTACTTTCCAAAAGAAGATGTGCAGTTTTTCCACCATGTCAGACTCCAGAGTAAAAGTGGGGACGAGCACATAGGACAGCCTTTCGTAAACATTTCAACAGAATGATCGACTATTAGGAGGACCACTTATTTTGATGATTTACCTGTAAGAACTATACCACTATACCTTTAAGTAAATATTTAATCTCAAATAGAAATATCTTACCTCTAGCAAGATATTTTAGTCAGATTAGAATATTGAACTTGTAGATTTAAAAATAATTTTTGGTCCAAGCATTGGAATGACTTCTAACATCATTTTTTTATTTTTATTTTTTCTTATGAAAGTCACTTTGCATCAGAATACAGATCAAAATCATACTTTTTGGATGGATTTACAGGAGTACAGGAGCATGCAAAAGCTGAAAACTGCACAACTGAGCTAACTCAAAGGAAAGCCTGGATTCACACAGCTGGTCACACTGTTGATCCTCTCCTCTCTCCCTCTTTTATCTTCAGTCCAGGCCTGACTTCTCCTTCTATACCCCGTCATTTCTGTCGCATGTGTTATTTGTTCTGCCTCGAAGTTGAAACTTAAGCCTAACCAAGCACAAACTCAATCACAGCAAACAAACAAGTTCCACTTTAGTCAACTGGAATTGAGTGGCTGTTTTTCTCTTCAAGTAGGAAATGCCTTTTTCCCCTTTCCAAATTGCCTTATCAGTGACACACAGCTCTCTGCTGTGCTTACTTTAAGTTCAGCCGGGCTAAAAACTTAGTGGTATTTCTAAGTGTTAGCATTTGTGAAAACTCTAATGTGCAGCATTCAATTACATTTATTAGAAACATTAATATGTGCAGCTCACATGGAAAGGAGGTGGCAAGAGGTTGATTTTTGCCATCTTGCTGTATTGACCTTTCTTATTTGTGTTTTTTTGTTGCCTTATTTATAACCTAAACAAAATGTTGCCAATTTTTATTTCTCATCTAACGATAGACTAGTTTCACCTGATCTAAGCTTAAATGCACTTTTGCAAAGCTACAAACTTTTGAATTGGTTTGTATGCAGTTCTCAGTAAAGACAAAAATGATTCCAGTTCAAGCTGTTTATGTGATGTTTGAGTATGTACTAAGCTGTGGAAATATAGCCTGATTTCTGTTTTTCTTTTCTTTTATACAGCCCTTTTATAGTTATGTATAAAAAAAAAACTTGCCAAAGACTAAAAGCATTTTTTCATTATTTATTTCATCAAGGAGAAAATTTAACCTTTACAAAAAATACCCCTTTGTGAAAAAAAAGGAACCACTCCCCTTGTCAAATCAAAATTAAAATATTTTTGAAATTGCATGAAAATAACAGGTCTTATAACAGGATTTAGCCTAAAACTTCTTAAAAAACATTTCAGGAGAAGAGCATCATCCAATTAGTAAAACATGGCAGTGGTAGTGTGATGGTCTATACAGTAAACGCTCTACAGTTTTAGGGTGTAACATTGCATAATTATTGGGACTTCGAAATTTGACTTTTACCAGAAAATTTATAAAGGAATATTAAATTCAATTCAGTTTATTTATATAGCACCAGTTCACAACACACATCATCCCAAGGGACTTTACAGCACTTAAAATTGGTCTGAATTTAAACTACATTGAAGTTCTGGACTTGAAACAGGCCAGCCATGCTTAAAATCCCTAAATCAACAGACTAACTTCCATTATTCCCACCAGTTCTAAGGTTAGCAGTTGTCATCCTCTTCACTAAGGGCATAGCCATTTAGGAAATTGATTTCCTATTTATTCAGATTACTCGCATATTATCACGTATGTATATATTTCTTGATAATCTTAAAATGTGAGCATGACAAATGCAGAAACATAGGACATAATTTTTTCCAGTACTACAGAGTACTTTGGCCATAATATAAAACAGATTATGGTAAAATGCTGTGAGGCAATAGGATTATTAGAGATGGACAGTGAAGAGGCTGTAACAGCGTAGAAAGAGGCACATGTCACATGCAAACACCACCCCCATGCTGCCCCCCCCCTTGGATAAATCCTGTATAGCTTTGTTCACATAGATGTGTTCAACAAAGAGCATATGGTCAGCTATTAGAAGCCTTTTCACTACTTCTTAAATCTATCAAAATAGAGTTAAGACAAATCCTTTTTGAGGAAATTACACCAACATAATTTATTTATCTGGTTAAAGCCCTCTTAATTCTCCTATCAGCTTTGCCAAGCTGCTTCAACATCTTTCCAATACAAGGTCCAGATTAGCAGATCCACAGACTGAGAGAAATCTGTGTGTGATTTATGTTCATATATCAACACGTGTACCACCCTGTTTGTGAAGCGTTGTTGTTCTGTCCATGTTTGTATCAAGTTAGTACTTTAAACTTAGCTTTGCATATGTCACTTTTGCTTACTTTTCATCCACACTGCAAGCTGATTGCATAGATTGTTGAAATAAATTATTTTTTAAAAGAATTGTCTACAAAAATCGTTACCGTAATTATATGATTTTTTTTTTTTTTGTGCAACATGTTATTTAGTCCAGTTATGATTAGAATAATCATTTTATATTATCTTGATTTGAATATTGCTTGAAACATTTGTGATTGTGATCCTATCCATTATTATGCAGACCTTTGTTCAGGAGTTATTAATATACAATTAGGGGCAAAACATCTAAAATGCTACACACTCTGCTTATTTTATAATCCATTGACCATCAGTCCTATAATACTATTTTTTTCATCCAGTTGTACATACATTTTTTTTATTAGCATTTAATGTTAAAATTGTCTATTTAGTTGTAAAATATTTTATTAACATATGAAATATATCAGGGCATTATAATAAAAGAAAATATTTTTCAATTATAAATCATTTGTCAAAAAATGAAATAAAAATAAATCAAATATACTTGTGGTGGGATCTCCTACAAAGATCAAACTGTTAACAAACTTATTGTGACCTATCTCTGGTTGTGCCTTGCCCTTCCTTGGCAAATACCTTGCTCTCTAGCCACACTTAATTGGCTGATCTGTGTGATTTGCATAAATCCTTTTAAATTACCTTCCTCTTATCTGATCTCAGAGATAGGCCCTAAGATGGCAGAGTCCGTGCAATGACTCCACTGTTAGGGCATGACAGCAAAATGACTTGTAATTGGAGGCCGCTAAGGGTCGTCACCCCCTGGCACTCACTCAGTAAGCAGCTCAAAGCTTTATGCTGCTAAAAATCCCTTTTTTCCTTGATTTTTCTGTCACATTTGCCTGCTGTGCACACCTTTTCTTATTTGTTTTCTCGCTCGGCTATCTCACTTCCCCTGATTGTTAAATGTCTATCCTTTATTCCCAATTTTCCATAAATGTTGTTGGTAATGGTCTGTTACGCTGTTCAATCAATGCAACGGTTACAAAATTGTGTCTGTAGATGGGTTGTGAGTGTTTTTATGTGCAGCAGTGCATGTTATAGCAGTCCGAGGTTTACTATATTGCTGATGAAACAGCACCTGCAATGGCTTGCCTAAAGCATCAGAGCAACATTCACTAGTCCAGCTTCCGCTGACTCTAAATATTGGATCAGGAGCAGGATTACTGTGAAATTGTAGACACACCTTTTACAGAAATGTGGGAACTGTTTTATCTCTGCTTTATTGCTGAAAAAGTAAAATTGATGTAATAAGAGAATAGAGTATTACAGGTCCAGTGTGGTAAGCAAATTCTAAAAACAGTAGACAGTTTGTTTAATTATCAAGTGGTTTGAACTATATTTTTGCAAAAAATATCAAAATTGCAATTCATTTGCTTAAAGCAAGCACAAATCACTCTTTTGTTACCTTGTTTTTTGCCCAGTTTTTTTTTTCTCTTCAAAGGAAGATGTAGTAGACTTAACTTATACATTAATGAATATCAGCTACTTGCAGGAACTGTAGGTTTTATGCATGTTTGATCAAATTTACTGCATAATTATCTCAGAAAAACTTGATCTAATAGAATGCCCAGTTCTTTTTTCAGAAAAAAAAAAATCTATTATCACTGTTGGAATTGAGCTTTTATGTCCACTATCAAAGATGACTCACGATGTTGTGTATATGAACACAGACAACGACCTGTTTTGTTGTATTACAGTCATCATTATTGTGCCTTAGCCGTCCTTGTGTGATTGAATGTGTTCTGCCTGCATCCCCATCGACTTTGATGGGATGGATTTAGCTGCTGGGCCAAAAGATAAGGTGATAAGCAAAACTGTCAAAAGTATTTCTTTCAAAAGTTAAACCTATCACCCAGCCTGATCCCCTTTTTCCTCCAACATAATTATAAATGAAGAATGCTCATTTAATGTAATTCCTGTTCCTTTTTTTTTTGTTTTTTTGTATTATTCTTATTCTTATTTCATTATTTCTACGTCTTCTCTGTTGGCTGAAAAATTCTTTGTCCTCTCCTCCTCTGCACACATCTTTGCTTGTCATCTTCTCCTTCTGTCATGATGTTTTTGTTTTTGTTTCATCTCTTCCTTCTCTTAGGCTCCCCTGCAGCCAGCGGCACAGGCACGCTGCAGATTTATTTGATAGATATTAATGACAACCCCCCAGTGCTTGTACCAAGGGAGTCTCAGATCTGCGAAAGGATGAACAAGAACGTCAATGGCTTCAACATCACTGCTGCTGATGCTGACACAGACCCCAATGCCGGGCCCTTTGTCTTTGAGCTGCCCAACTTCCCAAGCAGCATCCGACGCAACTGGACCACTACACGAATCAGTGGTGAGTAGCTGTCTGTAAAAGGTTAAAAAAAGAAATACTTTTTTATTCATGTTTTTTTAAACCATTCTTGCTAATATATTCCCTTTTGTAAATATTACATATTGCATACAGATAAATGAAACTCAGGAAAATTTAAAACAATTAGATGATTATATAAGTTTGTAATTATACAGTACCATATTTATTTTCTTATATTGAAGTACTTGATATGCCCCTTACTAATTTAAGAAAGAAATAACAACAGATTTCAAAGGATTTGTTCATAAAAAGTCTAATCTTCTTGAGATTACTGCAGAAGCTTGGCACACCTTTTGTTTGGAAATGTACCCTCTCTGCCTGGCAGAAACACAGATACTTAGCCAGATTGGAGCCAGATTGAAGAGCTGGTGCACAGCCATTTTGTCGCTCCAGACGAGCTCTGCGGGGTTCCGTTTAAAACATGTTAATTTACTCTAAAACTTCTACAAAAGTTTTTTTAAAACCACAGTATGATGGTGCCATTACCATGTTGGGCAGCTTGCAGACTTTACACATGCACTTTTGAGTTGTTTCGAAGTAGGATTTTTTCTTTTCTAATAATTGAAATATTAATAAAACTGTTTTTATGGTTTCCAATTTCATCCGTTAACTAGAAGTATAGACTCCTATTATTGTTACAGATTTTGTCCCATAAATCTTTAACAGACCAGGGTCATGACACAGTCTTGCCCTGCAACTTTCTTATATATTCTCATTATACCACCGATTTTCTTTTCTAAAAAGACCTATGAACCTTTCTTAGTAAATTAGCTTAGGCACAGATGCATTTGTGTCATGCTAGTACATCAAGGGACGTTGACTTACAGTAAATGAAAAATCTCAATTTTAAAACACAAGGAGATAATCTCATATTTCATTGTGATAAAAAATGTGTAGAGGAAAAATAAACAAGGTTTAGCACTTGGAAAAAACAAATCAAATATTAAGAGCATGTTTTTGTGGGAGTCGTTTCTTGGGGTCAATATTGGGGCCAACCTCTGGAACCTGTTAATCAAAATGAGCACAGAGGCATGTCTTAAAGAAAAATAAACATGTTAATCATCCCCAATACTTTCTGAGAATATGGGCTGTGGAGACAGAAGAACAACCATAGTGAATGTCAATCATTTAAAATGCACTGTTTCCTTTTTTTTCATTTTATATTTCAAAGTAATAAAGGGAGTAAATAAATATAGATTTGAATTATGTTAAAACACTTAAATCAACATGAATCAAAGGTTGAATCACAAAATGTTCATCATTTAATAATATTGAGCCTGACATGCAGAAAATGAGGATATTTTTAACTAATTTTATTTGAATTCCAACCCGTTACAGCCTCTTTTTGGGCTCATTACAGATCAAGTTGACAATTCTTTATCAGGTAATCTTATACAGGATTGCTCTAACATCAGTTCACATCTGGTTAACGTAGAAATTAAATAATGGAACAGATTTGTTAAAAACTACAGGTCATATGCTAACTTCAGCTTGTTGCAACAGAACCTGCCTGCTGATGTTATGTTGTTCAATTCTAACCTGGGGAACATTAGAAAGGATAGAAATGACTCTTTGACACAGTAAATTAATTCAAACATAAACCTTTCATGTAGAAATGTATTTACCTGCTTAAGTAGTATCCTCTGATTGTAAAATATTGCTTGTGGGGTTTTTTAATTTCCTATTTTTGGGAAATTTGATTGATAGCAGTAGGACGTCCATAAAAACTGCAAGTAACAGGGTTGTTGTTTATATATCCTGGACGTTTTGTTTTTTCTTAATACAGATTGTGTGAAAATAGCACCAGTCAGCGCATTATGGCTATTATTGATTTCCTTTTATATTTCTTGTCTTCCTGAGTTGCCACAGCAACAGCCATTGTGGACTATGCTTCCACTCAGGTCCAGAAATCTATACCCAAGCTTTCATTGTGCTTCCCAATTTTTGTACAAGTGGAATGCAATTGATTTTACCAGATTAAACTTCCTTTACTGACGTTATCTCTTTATTTTGAACATAGTTTAATTTAAAAACCATATATTTGTAGGAAATCCAGAAAACTAAACTTGTCTAGAAAGGGGTATATTTCATGTTTCTGGTGTCATTTGAATATATTTACATTGCTGAAAATAAATGTATTACAATGTCTTGTTTTTCTTACTTGTAACTGTTAACAGTTTTTTTTTTTTAAACCTATCAATAGTAACATACAGGTGCTGGTCATAAAATTAGAATATCATGAAAAAGTAGATTGATTTCAGTAATTCCATTTAAAAAGTGAAACTTGTATATTATATTCATACATTACATACAAACTCATATATTTCAGATGTTTATTTTGTTTAATTTTGATGATTACAAATGACAACAAATGAAAATCTCAAATTCATCATATCAGAAAATTAGAATATTGTGAAAAGGTTCAAAATTGATGGCCCCTGGTGCCACACTCTAATCAGCTAATTAACTCAAACCACCTGCAAAAGCCTTTAAATGGTCTTTCAGTCTAGTTCTATAGGCTACACAATCATGGGGAAGACTGCTGACTTGACAGTTGTCCAAAAGACGACCATCGACACCTTGCACAAGGAGGGCAAGACACAAAAGGTCATCGCTAAAGAGGCTGGCTGTTCACAGAGCTCAGTGTCCAAGCACATTAATAGAGAGGCGAAGGGAAGGAAAAGATGTGGTCGAAAAAAGTGTACAAGCAAGAGAGATAACCGCACCCTGGAGAGGATTGTGAAACAAAACCCATTCAAAAATGTGGGGGAGATTCACAAAGAGTGGACTGCAGCTGGAGTGAGTGCTTCAAGAACCACCACACACAGACGTATGAAAGACATGGGTTTCTGCTGTCGCATTCCTTGTGTCAAGCCACTCTTGAACCACAGACAGCGTCAGAAGCGTCTTGCCTGGGCTAAAGAGAAACAGGACTGGACTGCTGGTGAGTGGTCCAAAGTCATGTTCTCTGATGAAAGTAAATTTTGCATTTCCTTTGGAAATCAAGGTCCCAGAGTCTGGAGGAAAAGAAGAGAGGCACTTCATCCACGTTGCTTGAAGTCCAGTGTAAAGTTTCCACAGTCAGTGATGGTTTGGGGTGCCATGTCATCTGCTGGTGTTGGTCCATTGTGTTTTCTGAGGTCCAGGGTCAACGCAGCCACATACCAGGAAGTTTTAGAGCACTTCATGCTTCCTGCAGCTGACCAACTTTTTGGAGATGCAGATTTCATTTTCCAACAGGACTTGGCACCTGCACACAGTGCCAAAGCTACCAGTACCTGGTTGAAGGACCATGGTATCCCTGTTCTTAATTGGCCAGCAAACTCTCCTGACCTTAACCCCATAGAAAATCTATGGGGTATTGTGAAGAAGAAGATGCAATACACCAGACCCAACAATTCAGAAGAGCTAAAAGCCACTATTAGAGCAACCTGGGCTATCATAACACCTGAGCAGTGCCACAGACTGATCGACTCCATGCCACGCCGCATTGCTGCAGTAATACAGGCCAAAGGAGGCCCAACTAAATACTGAGTGCTGTACATGCTCATACTTTTCATGTTCATACTTTTCAGTTGGCCAACATTTCTATAAATCCTTTGTTTTTATTGGTCTTCAGTAATATTCTAATTTTCTGATATGATGAATTTGAGATTTTCATTTGTTGTCATTTGTAATCATCAAAATTAAACAAAATAAACATCTGAAATATATGAGTTTGTATGTAATGTATGAATATAATATACAAGTTTCACTTTTTAAATGGAATTACTGAAATCAATCTACTTTTTCATGATATTCTAATTTTATGACCAGCACCTGTAAGTATTTCTTAAATTTTTTGTCTTCTTTTCCTTGCATAGGTGATTATGCCCGCCTGGCTCTTCGATACCAAGTTTACTTGGAACCAGGAATGTATGAGGTCCCTGTCATTGTGTCAGACTCGGGCAACCCACCGTTGTCCAACAGGTCCATTATCAAAGTGAAGGTGTGTCCCTGCGATGAAAATGGAGACTGCACAACACTCGGTGCCGTTGCAGCCGCTGGCCTTGGAACTGGAGCCATTATCTCCATCCTAATCTGCATCATCATTTTGCTTTGTGAGTGCTCTCTATTAACCAGTATACCTTGCTGTTCCTAAGAAGATCAAAATTTTGATTTAAACTCCTTAAAAAATATATAGATTTTGAGAAAAGATGAACTTTTACCAAAAAATTATACAGCGATGTGGATGCAAATGTTTGAAATATATAATTATCTCAGTCACTGGAACCCCTCAGAGTGGGGAGTTTTTTGTTTCTTCTCTGGAAGTGTAAATATCTGTAGGCGTCTGTCTTGCCAGTTTTTCATGCCTGTGGATTGTCCTGTACATAGAAAACAAGAAACTTTTTCCAAGGCACTCTTTATTGCTTTTGGATTTTGTTTAGGTTTATTAATTATGAAGCTAAAAGGGTCCTAATATTCACACATACATGACAACATTCATAAATGTATTTCTCTTATATTTGAGAATATTTCTTGATTTAAAAATTACTTGTGATGTGAGAATGTGAATGTTTGAGATTCTCGTGACATGGTCTAATACACATATCACCTGATATTTCTTTTAAGACATGGTCTATTACACAAATAGATGTTTTTGAACAGGAACCAATCAAATATCTCTTGTTTAGTCAAACACAAAAATGTATCCCATGTGGGCGATGATTTACTTGTAAGTCAATGATGTGCATTCACATAGCCCTGCAGTATACTGTAGGCATTTAGTGCGGTTGCAGGTGAACTTGTACTGTAAGCCGTTGGGGTTCAAATTGTTGAGACCTTAGCATAGTTTCTGGTAACGACAGTGGAGCAGTAAGTGAAAAATATTCTTTAATATGTTTAGCTAGTTATCTACCTTTTGTTAGATTACAGTTTAAACATTTATGTTAATAATGTAATGCTTTTTTAGACAACAAAGCATTACATTTTGTTTTGTTTTGGGTTTTTTTGGCACGGTTAGACCATGTAGAATAATTAGTGTAGTTATCTCTCTTAGCTAGCTTTATCAAGTCAGAAATTTGCCACAAAGCAAATTTATAATATTCAAACAAGCAGTTTGAGTGGATTTGGAACATCTTAGATGCAGATTCAGTACCTCAAGACCCCAGTAAATTACACACACCATTGCATGCTGGCCCAAGATGCATACCCTGTGGAGGTATGCATCTTGGGCCAGCATGCATGTATTAATCACTTGTGTGTATTAATAAATATTAAGGGTCTTTTAGCACCATAGCATTCTGCTTGTACAAAATGATAACTAGTGATAAAGCAGATGTCCAAATATTGAAACGTTTACAGCATACAGTGGTTTCTAGACAGTTGGCCAATTTAACATTCTGAAACTTGAAGACTTCTTTGAATAGTCCTTTCATGATTCCAGATTGATGTAAATTAAACACTGTAAATGCTGAAGCATTTATTAACTTGTTATTAACTCGCATGATTTATGCTCATTATATTTCGGTTAGTTTTTGGCTTACTTTTAGTGGGCACAGCTAACCAAGAATTTAAAATCTGATGTTATGCTACCTAAAATATTGACCTTACTACCAATGAAGAGCTAAAAACATAATGTAATCAGATGCCAGTTGTTAAGATAACTGTCACTTGTAGTTACCAGATCTGACTTTTTTATGCTTAAACGCAAAGGCTAAAATAAAACTAGCCCAAATCGCAACTTAAGTTAAACTAATCAGATATAAACCTGAACTTTATCCACTATCAGATGATCCTTGCTCACCGAACTACCCTCTCAGTCATACGCACATTTGCACAAACACAGTGTAACTCAATCGGACTATCTCCCTTTGATGCACAGGCAAGAAACAATTTTCAGCTAATCAGCTATAAGTGAACAGGCCACACTGTAAAAAGAATAATGAAGTCATCTTGTCCTTGTTTTGCGTATCAAGCCATTAAATGCATTATGAGACGTGCAATATTCTGCTATCCTTTTGTCCACTATTGGTTTCCAGACTCTAAGTCAACTGTGACTCCCCAGCAGGACTGAGGAGAGCTCTCCTCAATATTTAATTCATTCTGAGCCAAACAGAAGCTTTGTTTTCATCTTTTATAACTGAGGAATAAGTGAACACAGTTAGAAGCTGTCTTCAGACAGCTGCTATTGCTCCTCCAGAGACGAGCACCAGTGCCAACCCTTCAGCGAGGAAAGTTGCTATTTGCTGACATAGGTCACTATACTGTAAGTCACTAGAATACTGTAAGTCATCACCTATCACCTGATATTTCTTTTAAGATATATTGTTCATTAGCTTTAAAAATATTTCATGAAGCAGGGATTAGTCATAAAAAAGTGTTTAAATGTTAAAGTGCTTTTAGCACCTTAACAAGATTAACCTAGTTAACCTTAATGGCAGCAAACAATAGTATTTGTATTCTCTAAAGCAGGGGTCACCAACCTTCTTAAAAATGAGAGCTACTTCATGTCTACTGCATCATAGGAAGGGCTACCAATGCTGACCTATGAACTGGAGAAGTTAAAATTCACCTAAACTTCATACAAATACAGATATTTTTACCATTTCTTCTTATCTCTAGTTTTCTTTTGGATTTGTCATTTTAAATCTCTGTTAATGGTTAAATGCTCTATTAATGATTAAAAAAAGAGCAACAGAATAAAATAAAGTTTTAAACTTTGCCCACTGCTCAGTTGTTCTATTTTCAGAAGGTGCTGTAGGGACCCCATATGGTCCTAAAGGGCCACTTTGGGCCCGCAGTTACCGTGTTGGGGTCCCCTTACATAGAGAATGTAGACAATTATCTCAACTCTGAGATTTCCTAACAACTGTCCGAATTGTTAGAGCCATATTTTCCATCATAGGCAAAGATCCAAAGCTCAAATGATCAAACTGAGAATCCTTGCCTTTTCTTCAGCCTTTCATTGATCTGCTAAGTTACTTTTTCTCCTATTCGAGCCAACCGACCAAGAGTACAAAATGATAAAGGAACAAAACAACTAGCTCTAGCTCTCTATAGCAACCAAAATAAACTAGCATTATCCCTTCACAGTAAAAGGTGTCTTCTCTACAATTTGGGTAAATATAACATTGAAAATTAATTTGTTCCAGTTCCCACCTTGTCAGAGTAAATCAAGCTAAAACTCATGCTCGCCCCAAATCAACTATAAAATATTAATAATAAGCCATGTCTTGCGCCATATCCGCTAGGATCTAAAGTGTGCTGAAAGTTATTTAAGAAGCTGCTTTTTAAGAAATTCTACCTTCTGAGATACAATCACATCCAAGGATTTTTGGAGGAAAACATGCTGAAGCAGTAGACATAAGGTCGTTATTGGAAATTTAGACTATTCTCGTTATTTCAAATGTCAGGGTGCCCCTGCTGAAGTGCGAAAGTAAACATTGTTCCCAGTCATTAGAAAGTTGTGCTGTATTCTAACTGCTTAACAGATGACGTGTTGATCCAGTGAGGCTTCAAGTTGTGCACACTGAAATGAAAAAAAAAATGTAATTATACGGCCATCTTAATTTTCTTTCGTTTCGTTTTTTGTAACCTGTCTTCAGCTTTACATACTGCCGTGCCTTAGTGCCCTTTATAGATCCCTAAGCAGGCATCACTTTACATTTGGATTTATTGTGTATTAATGAAACTCTACCTACAGCTGTATATGTTTCCTGTATGCATTATTGCAGGCATGGTGCTGTTGTTTGTGGTGTGGATCAAGCGCAGGGAGAAGGAAAGGCAGACAAAGCAGTTGCTGATTGACCCTGAGGATGACGTCCGTGACAACATCCTCAAATACGATGAAGAGGGGGGAGGCGAAGAGGATCAAGTAAGCGTTGGAGAGAGACACACACCACTCATACATGATGTGATGTCTGTTTTGATGCTTACCCTGCTTATATGTCTGTGCCTCTGGGACTGTGCAGGACTACGATTTGAGCCAACTGCAGCAGCCAGACTCTTTAGAACACATCATCACCAAGCCGCCGGGCATACGCAGAGTTGACGAGAGACCCATTATCCCAGAGTCACAGTACCCGATCAGACCAGTTGTTCCCCATCCTGGAGATATTGGGGACTTCATCCATGAGGTGAATTTAAAAGCACATCTATATCTTGCATGGACAAAATTTGAGTAATTTAGTTGTTTTTTGTGCAAGGAGCTGGCTTCTCAGTAATGTTTCAGGGATTTGTAGATTTTGCCAATTTTTCGGAATGAGTACAGCAACAACTAGTTTTCCTTAACTGATCAGCCACCCCACCCTCCAAACACTCACAAATATTTACTGTCGCAAACACAGGAAACTCTGATGCTGGCACATTTATTCGAGAAAATGCTGATTGACAGACTCGTGACAACGCATTCACACTTGAGAGGTGTTGGCAGCTGTTCGGCTTTGATCCAGCCAGCCTTGACTCTCTGTCTGTCTGTCTCTGTCTCATACACATAAACTCACCTGATCTCGCTCCACCAGTCCGATTAAACTCAAACACTGCAAACACATGGTGTTTTTACTACATTCTGAAACCACAAGGGTTTTGGCATTTTACATTCTTCTCATAATTTCTCACAAATTTACAAGGTCTGTTCTCCTTACCTACCTCAATATAAGGTCTTTGACCACAATGTTCTATTGTTTGAAACAAGTGTAGTTTTGAAAAGAAAGTAAATTATTTGTAGAAATAACTAAATATGAGTAACATATGATAAAACAAAGAAAATTATATCTGGCTTTAAAATGTCTATATACTATTGAAACCATTTCTTATTTGAAATGCTTTATTTTTAAATGCTTTCAGTCACTTTAGTTTATATTACTTTATATTTTATAGGATTTTCAGTGAATGTTGAACCAAATGTATTGTTAGTATTGTTAGTTCTAATATGTAGCTTAGATTTTTAATTAGATTTAGGTCTGTATGGAGGTATTGGGATTTAAACCAGTGGTTTTGCACCCTGCTCTTCAGGGACCCCTGTTGTGCATGTTATAGGTGTCTCCTTGCCACCTCAAACCTGACTTATATGAATGGGTGATTAACAGGCTTCTGTGGCACTTTACATCTGCTGAGGAGGTCACACAACCATTTGAATCAGGTGTGCTGCGATATAAATGCATCTAAAACCTGTGGGGAAGGAGCTTCAGGGTTGGGAACCACTGATCTGAACTGTTCCATTGTATGGCTTGGGTTGTTATCCTGCTGGTTCTGTGTCTAAATTTCTGCCCCAGTTCAATTCTTGTCTGTTTTTTAGCTTAACATTTATCCTGACAGTTCTGAAAAACTTTCCTCTGTATGCTTAGGAGGGAAATTATTTCAGCATCACAATGCTGCCTCTACTCATTACTGAATTTCTTTCAGAAATGGCTGCTTTTTGCCTCTGTTCCATAAAAGGTAAATTTATAGAGCTTTAGACTAATTGAGCTGCAGATCCTTTTAGATCAACCTCTTGGCTGCTTCTTCAACTAACTTCCTTCTTTCCCAACCTGTCAGCTGTCTTAGTAGATTTGCTGTTGTTGCAAACTTACAATTGTTGAATGATAAATTAAACATTGCTTTGTTAGATGTCAGAGCTCAGTACATTCATAACCAAAGCCCTCTTTGAACTTCAAAACACCTGTCTAGCGTGTTTCTTGATCTTTATCAGACTGTTTGTTCATTAATGTTCTCTAACATCTAAGACTTTCACAGAACCGCTGAATTTATATAGATAGTACATTAGATTTAGATGGACTCCGTTTACCTAGTTGGTCAAATATTGAACAGTGAGCTTTGGCATGTTAAAAAAGTATTTGCTTGTGACCAATTTGTACCCTTTACCATGAAAACAGCCCAAAACTGGAGGGGTTGTATGAGAAAAAGCCTCTCCTGCCTGAAATAAAGTTTTGATCAGCTATTTCTTAACTAAAAACCCATCCCCAGAGTCCATTAAAAAGATCCCAGCTTAAACTTTTCTTAATTTTTACACCAAGCTCACCAAAAGCTGAATCTTTGACTTGAAAACTTGTCATCTCAGAAAAATTTGGTTGGTAGCTGGAGACAGAAAAGCTGGAGGAGGGAATTATTAAAAAGTTTAGTATAGCTGCTATTGCATCAATCCTTCTAGTCATAGGTCTTACAGTGTGTCTGTCTTTTTTACGAGCTTTGGCAATCAGAAACTTCAAGCATCCCATTTTTCCTGCATTCCATATTAATTAACACAACTGGAAAAACCCTTCCTCTTCTACAAAGTGCTCACTGTTCTCAACAGTTTTTCCCTGCAGCACATTTTATTTGCAGCCGTTTCATTCCCAAACTGAATTGCTTCCCAAACAATCCTGTGGCATTAAATTGTGGTACAATTGTGAATACATTGGCTACTGCAAGACTTACATGATTGATTTAATACTCACCCTTCACATTTTGCAGTGTGACTGGAAAAAACTGTGAAACACACAGCTCTCTTGTCTAATCTCCCCAGGGTGTTAGATAAAGGCATGCTTTATTATCTGTCTTTAACTGTCCTTTGCCAGGCTACTCACCATATGGCCATGTTTGCGTCCATGGGATACAACTTTATGTTAATGGATAATGATCAGCAGATTTGACAGTTCATTAAACATCAAATTGCACAAATTAAAATTACTCAAATAAATTTGCTTAATGGAGACACTGCTATTTCTAATGAAGTTTTTTAACGATTCGATGGGGTGCTTTTTTGGTCCCATTGAAAATATTATATTTTGCAAAACTGCAATCAAAACACTTTTTTGCATCACATAATTTAGGTGATCTGTAACTGGACCTTACTCGGTTGTAAAAAGATTAATAAAAAGACTGCGAGTAGTTAGAGGCGCCACATATTTGGATTAATGAAGAGACTATTTTTTACACTTAGTTTGTGAAGGTGAGCTGTGGCTGAAATGTGGATTTATCTCATGTATTTACATCCTCATGTTGTTTTCAAGAGTTATCAAATTAACAAACATGATTACATGCAGGAGCCTTTTAACCAGTATTTCTTTTTTTTTTTTTTTTTGGCGGGGGGACTAATCACTGCGACACCGAAGCACGCCCAGTTTTTCTCATTTTTATGTGTATTTATATCAGCTGTCTGAACTTCTTCTGAAACATTCAGATGTGTTTCCGACTTATGTCACTCAAATATTAGTTGAGTAGAGTTTGACTGCATGCTAGTTAGCTAGATTAGCCATTTTATTCGGGTATGGATCTGGCAGGACGCTGGTCCTCAACGATTGGAGTTCAATACCACTGCATTATATCAACTGTAAAACTAGTTAATTGACCTCTCTTTGTTTTTGTGTGTTTTTTCTCTCTGTGTTTTAAGGGTCTGCGGGCTGCAGACAATGACCCCACAGCCCCACCGTATGATTCCCTGCTCGTCTTCGACTATGAGGGCAGTGGCTCCACCGCCGGCTCAGTCAGCTCCCTCAACTCTTCCAGCACAGGAGATCAGGACTATGACTACCTCAACGAATGGGGACCGCGCTTCAAGAAGTTGGCCGACATGTACGGGGGCGGGGATGATTAATAAAAGATCTTGGCCCGTCCTGCACATGCGCACACACACGCACCCTCGACCCATCAGCTGGCCTGCCAAGCTCTGTCTCCATAACAGAATGGGGCAATTGAACCCTACTTGAACACAAATTAAGGATGACATATTCATACGGACCAACCAAACAATTTAGTAGCCGCAACAGAGGACCAGTGTCGTAAGTCCCTTCCAGGAGCTCTTCTTTACCTGCTCCTGCTCTAAGCCTGTCCAAGACTGTAATGGAAGCTCTTATTTGCAGGCTTTGTGTGAGTTTTACTCTCAAACACATGTACTTCTGTTACACCTTAGTTTTGTTTTTTTGTTGTTGTAGACTTCAGTTACTGTGTTTTAGGTTTCTATTGCTTTTTCCTGTTCTCAGTCACATTTAATTCAGAAATAACCCTTTCCTGAGAGATTCCACTTTTCCCTCACTGTAAGCCCCCCCTGCCTGCATCTTTGAAGGAGCTTTAGGTTTTAGATAGATGCTTTATCTGAGGCAAACAAAAGGGAAAAGAAGGTAACCCAGATATGAAGTTGTCTTTTCTTGGAGGGCCCTGATTCATTCTTTCCACAACTTGAATTACTTAGAACAGAAGCACTGTTGTTTAAAAAGTGCCTTCACTGGTGCGTTCTTTTAGCAAACTTCAGCTTACTCAGGATTGGTTGCCATTCTCTGGGCTTGCAGGCCCCGACATGACCCCAGACCCTTTAATTCAGACCTCCCTTGTTATTTCTCCTGTCCGGCAGGGCCGTTACATCTGGAGGAGATCTCAGTGCTGGTTTCAGAGGAGCAGCGACTGGTTTCAGAGAGCAGTTCATGTAGACGTACATAGGCCTACAGTGTGTCTCTGGGTGATGGACTAATCATCAGATTTTTGGAAAGTCAGACGTACTGTGCTCCTAGATCACAGTTTGCTGGAATGTGACTGCTGAAATCGCAGAAACAGACTGTCTTAGATGAAAAAATGCATTGTGTGTTGGTTACTTGTAGCAACAGCAGCTGTGTTTGTTTTGAGATACTGAGTGTTTGAGGGACTTGGCTCGTTACTAAATATGGCTGACAAGTAAATGTACTTATGGAGATTACTTAAGAGTCTGGCTTTAAGATCATCCAACATTTGTATATTAAATATTTGGGTCAAATGTGTTTAAATTTGAAAATGAGGAAGGATAAACAATCAATAACATATATTACTAAAGGAACAACACAGATATGCAAATTTGTTTTCTAGCTGTGGGTTGAATCATTCACTCCTCTAGCCTTCAATATTATTTTAGTCAGTCCAGTTCCTTTATCCTTTAACTTTTGAGATACAATTTATGATTCTAGACAGAGCAACATAAATTAGAGGTGCACAGAAATAGATTCCAGTTTTATTTAGTGCTCCTAACTTGTGAGCAGTAGGTCAGAACTCACAAAAATCTGTCATTTTAGGTATAATTCAACATTGGTCACAAGTTGGTGGGTCTAACTTGTGAGCACTAGGTTATTGCATCCAGTGAATGCACCATACAAGTCATAGAAGTGGCAACACTTAAATATGAAAGTTGTTACTGTGGGAAGAATATGCAAAGTTAACCTTTTAGTTAGCTATTTAGAATTTTGGATGAAGGACATGAAAAGAACATGTTGAGTGGGAAGATCAGTGAATCTTGTCAACCGCAAACACCCTTTAAAAACTGCCCAAATAATTCTTATTCTAATAAATGTAAAAATAATGAATGTCAGTATTACGTAGCACAATCAAATATTATGACAGCAAAATAGTTAAGATAAATTATTTTAGTATCAAAGGCAGTCATGTTAAAAAATAAAGAAATTATAATGTAGTTATACAGTAAGAATAGTTGTTGTTTTTTTCACGAGCTGTAGCGTCAAAAAGTCATCTCTATGGTTACAGTTACACTGCAGGTCTTGATGCTCAATTCAGATATTTTTGTGAAATCCAATTTCTTTGCACGATTGTTCACGTTTCCAAATAAATGCAACCTGTATGTATGTGTGTCACTTAGCTATGTGGTCCTGGTTGTTTTTCTTCCTGCTTCTGTGTAGCCAGATGCAAGTATTACTGACATTCAAGTCAGATTAATGCGAACTGGCTTTTCAGAGTACAAATTCAGGTCACATTTGAAAACATCCGATTTGTATCAGATTCAGCACCACAGAGCCAAGTGGCCTGGAACAAATCAGATCTGCGTTGTCATGAAAAGATCAGATACAGGTCGCATATGAGCAAAAAAGTCAGATTTGGGTCACTTGGCTATGTGGTCCTGAATCCAATACGTTTCTGATCTTTTCAAATGCGACCTGTGTCTGAACGGTGAGGTCGCTTTCATCCGACCTGTACACAATTAATACTCTTTATTTTTAACCATCTTGAAAAGATTGAGTTTATAAGGTTGGGAAAGATCGCTAGATGCGCTCCCGCACTACCATCCATGTTAACACAGAGCATGCTTTCTTGTGACGTCATTGTGTCCTCTACTGCGCATGCTGGACAGTTGAAGTTCAAAAAGAAAGGATTCATCTAGAGCAATTTTATTGTGTGGCTTGTCTAAATTGCGCTAAAAATGCTCCAAGTAATAAAAATCAAGAGAATTTCACAGTATGCTGGGCGCCTCTAGCGCCTTTAGAGCAGTCACATGACGAAACACAGCTGTGACGTCAGTGTAGTCAAACGTCTTAGGGCGGGTGTATAGAACCACTACTTCACGCATTGTTAAGCACAGTGAAAGGATCATTAAAACGTCGTTACAATGATCTATTGTACTGCTGGTAATTGTAGGAATGGCTTTGGATCGGGAAAAATAATGTTTAATTATCAGAAGGACCCGGTTTTGCGTCAAATTTGGTTCCGGAAAGTAAAGAGATAAGACAAAAATCAATCTGTGGCATCCAAACTGATACAGCAAACTATTTTCAGATCACATCACGGCAGATTTTTTATCATCAATCCTGCTCTCACAGCATCAGTTGGATTTAATATACCAAAGTATCCATGGCATGTTTTCTCTGTTGTATAGCTTTAATAAAGTGCCTGATGGCAATAAAGCTGATTTAAAGCATTGTTTTTTTTTTTTCATAAAACAACAGACCCTAGCTAGTTGCACAGTTTAGTATAGCCGCAGCTTCAGACAGATTTCCATATCATTATGGTCCGTGCTCCAGAACAACAACCGCAATGGATAACATTCAGTTACCGCAGGCAGAGACCCACAGCTCGAACCCCACGCCCGGAGCCATGAGTCGAACGGGTAAAAACCACATCCGAAGGACAATGTTAGCCACCCACACAGCAGAAAGGAAAGGGTTCTTGGACCGCTCACTGCAATCGGATTACTGAGGGACCGCTTTCCCCATCCAGGCACAGCAGCGGAGCACAGCCTGCTTTCCAGAACAGCCAGAACCGCACAGAGGGCTCAAACACTGACCGCCAGCCTTCACGCCCGGCCGCAGAAGCACGATGCCAAACGAAACAAACCTGGTCACCACAGAACCAATCCAAATCCTGTGATTCACTCTTCAAACAAAAGGTTAGACTCTGGTTTAAACTAAAAAGCACAGTCCTATCTGGAAAATGTTCTGAAAGATAATGAACTTCTTCCACAAGCTCTGCATAAGATCAAAGAACATTTAGCAGCGGTGATTAAACCAGTGAGTTTCATATTCAAATTGTTAAAAACTCGATCACAAAGGTGAATAAGCATTGACCCGCTGTGTAAAATGACCACTTCCTGACTAAACTGACGTCATGGCATCCTACACTGTCTCAGTGGGTCACGTGACCGAATGAGGAATTTAGCGTTGTCTGCTATCGTGAATTATTTTATGCTATAAACAACAAAATGCTTGATTTTTTTTTTTTTTTTTGTGATTTATTTAATGTTTTACATACTATCAAATGAGAGCTATATGCATGTGTTTTCTAGTTGAACTTTAAGCTGTATGAATGCATTTCACTCAGGAGATCACATACAAGTTGCATATATTTGGAAATGTGAACGGCAACGCAGAAAAAAAAAAAGAATCGGATTTCAAAAACAAATAGGAAATGAACATTAAGGTCTGCAGTGTGAACGTAGCCTTAGTCATGCGTTTGTTCTGTCCAGCCACTAAACGAGGTGAGTCCAATCTGCAAAGTGAATTCAATTGTGAAGATTGGACTCACCGGGTTCAGTGGCTGGGCAGAACACATGCATGCCATGGAGAAGACTTGATGACTCCACATCTCCCACCTCTGGCACAAGCTACATTAGCTTAGCTTATATACTTAGTTTTGGTTTTATCTTGAAGCCAATAGTGGCATGTTTATGTATGTTCCGTAATCAATCACACTGCCAGTCAGCAGAATGTTTTTATTCACATAAAGATTTTAGATTTCTTTTAAAACATCTACTCTATGCGTCATGCGCAGATATCGGTAACTTTAATCGTAAACAGAATTATTTTAAAGAACTTTTAAAAATGTCAACTCTCTTTTAAGTTTTTCTTTGTTTTAAAATTGCAAAACACCAATCACACAGTGTGATGTATCAGTTGTTCCTATTTATAATGTATGCAGTTGTAATAGGCTTAAAAAATCAATACTGTAAGTGATAGCTTCTTAAAAGAAACCAGACATGACCTGCATATATCTGCTGACCTAAATCTGAAAAGATAAATAAATCTGATGCATCCTTATTAACACTGGCGGGAAAAAGCCACAGTAAGGAGCTTAGTACAGTCTCAAACTAGCCCTCTCTAGGCTGTGATCCATTCATTAGAAAGTTTTTCTCAAAAATCCTGACATCTAAGAAAGGTAGGCTCATGTAAATTGAATGTTCTTTAATTATTAGATCCCCCTTAATTAATTTTCTGCCTGAATTGAAGCTTTTAAAAAAGAAATAACACATCAGGAACTGCTGAAGGTCAGCTAAACATAGTCTGCTCATCAAGTTATTTGAATGTGCAAACTATCTTACAAAGCTACAGTAAGTAATTAATAACAGAAATTAATGAGAACATCATTTATTCAGATACTGGTAGATTTGTACTGATTTTTAATTATAACACAAGGTCTGTAAGGGAAAGATCAGTTACTTTATCAAACTTTTCTTAACTTAACCTTAAGACTTAGAATACAATAAAACTACTCTGTTTTGAAAAAGAAAAAGACAAGCAAGTTGGCATGTTTTAACAATATAATATCATGGTTTCACTGTATCTTCATTAACACAAAAGATTAAAACCAAATTACATAACGTGATCTAATTGCTTTTATTTGAACAATTAAAGCAACTAAGATTACTATGGCTGCCAAAAAAATAAATATTATTTGTTATATTTATGGTATCTATACCATACTTTATTCAAATCCATAGATTTGTTAAAGTGGCCGCACCCTGTTAAAAATGTTTGTAGGCATTAAATAATTTTTGCAACATTACATAGGTAAAATATTAATGCTACAGAATATGACCCACTGTTCATTTATATATATTAGCTTAAGCATAACAGGTATATGCTAACAGCTTCTTTTGCCAAACTCTATCCTTGGTTAAAGCATTCAATTTAGACTAGGGAAAAGTATAGTTGGTTTTATTCAGATGGGTAACAAGCAATGCACAGCAACAGGTGGGGGGAGGAAAGTGCTCCATTCACTGATCCTATCCTATCCAATCTCACTCAAAAGAAAGTAGAAAAGTGATGACAGATCATTTACGCATCTTCAAAACCATTGCTCTGTAAAATCCTGGCACATTTTTATATCGCTTAGCATCATATAATCAAAAATATGAAGAAAGAGTGAAAATTAACAGGTGGGAAAAAAAATATAGAAGTATATAGAAATTGGAGAGTGTTATTTGTCTATAAAAAAAAAGAAACAAAACCAATCAAGTGTTAATAACAAGGTGAAGAGGTTCACTTTAGTTCAGTTCAGATTGATAAGTATTAATTGATAATTATGGAACCAAGAAGTGGTGATGAACAGGATAGCTGGTGGTGCAGATATGAGAACAGAGAGAGAGGTTTCCACAGCTCACTGCTAGATAAGCTCTAATCTGTGCTTGCCTCTCAGTCTGAAGTATATCCTCACAAAATAAACACAGCTGTTAGTTCATATTTGTGAGTCTTTCTGACATTTAAATGTTGTACATATAAAGTCTTTTTTATACATGTGGTGACATTACATTTTCTTTACTCCCCCCCCCCCCACTATTGTTTGGTTTCAAATAAATACTTGGCATATATTTCACAAAAAGCCATGTGCATTTACTGGAATTTGTATAAATATGTACGGGCAGACGACCATACTTGTATCTCTTCATCATGGCGAGAGGGTTCCACTCCAAACCAACCTGTACAGTACTCACTCCTCTAGGCCTTACTGTATATATATATGAGAGTGTTCTATATTATAGGAAAATATTCTGTATTGTTTTAATTTGTCTCAAAAGCAGCACGAAGACTGATGGCCATTCTGTCTCCAAAGAATGAAGAAATGTAGAGCTGATGTATGATTAGACTGTCAAATTAGATTTGGGGTCAAACAGAAAGGGGTAACCAACCTTTTTGAACCCTGTTGCATATGACAAATTATGACAAAGGCACTGAATGTTTTCAGGCTCTGT